GGCGCAGAAAGTCGGTGCGCGGGTGCATCGTCAGCCAGGACCTGTCTGTGCTGAACCTGGTCATCGTCAAGCAGGGTAAGTTGTTCGTACGCCCTTTTTTTATTGGGGATCTTTGTATTTTACACATGTGGAGTCAGCCAGGACCTGTCTGTGCTGAACCTGGTCATCGTCAAGCAGGGTAAGTTGCGCGGACGCCCTGTTTAATTCGGGGATTCAGAGAACCTGTAGGTGCTGAACCTGTAGCAGGGTAAGTTGTACGTTTGCCTTTTTAATTTTGTGGATTTAGAGGGCCAAGAAAGCCCAAATTGGTTCAACCTTCATAACCTCGGTTGAGTTTGGCCCTCGCACCCAAAATCTTGGCCAATTGTATTGCTCGCCCTAACCAAGCTTCCTAACGTTGAACTTCTTGGCCCACGGGTTTTAACATGTGAAGTAAGCCAGGTCCTGCCGGTGCCACATATACTAGTGGTTATGAAGCTGGGTGAGTTAGGAACCCGCCCTTCAAAAAGCGTAACCTTCTCCCTTTCCACCCCCACCCCTCCCCCCCCTCCCCCCCCCCCCCCCCACACACACCATCCTTCCCCTTCCCTCCTCTCCCCCCCCCCCATCAGGCGACAACCATCTCCCTGGTCTCGCGGACGCTGAGAAGCCACGCCTCTGCGGTCCCAAGCGGGCGTCCAAGATCCGAAAGCCAACACTCCCCTCCTTTTCCTTGCTTCTCCTTCCTCCTTCCCCCCTCTTCCCCCCCCCCTCCCCCCCTCCTCCCCCATCAGGCGACAACCACCTGCCTGGTCTGACGGACACTGAGAAGCCGCGTCTCCACGGGGCCAAGCGGGCGCCCAAGATCCGAAGTGACTTTTGAGTCGACTCAAAAGTCACCTGGTCTGACGGACACTGTGAAGCCGCGTCTCCACGGGGCCAAGCGGGCGCCCAAGATCCGAAAGCTGTTCGCTCTTCCCTTCACACTCCCCTGCTCCTATTCCTCTCCCCTTTCATCCTCCTCCCCAGCCAACCCCTCCCATTCTATCCCAATCAGGCGACAACCATCTCCCCGGTCTGACGGACACTGAGAAGCCGCACATGCGCTGTCCCAAGCGGGCGTCCAAGATCCGAAAGCCAACACTCTCCTCCTTTTCCTTCCCCCCAATCCCTTTCTTCCTGGCCCCCATGGGCATCAGGCGACAACCATCTCCCCGGCCTTACTGACACTGAGAAGCCGCGCATGCGCGGACCCAAGAGGGCGTCCAAGATCCGGAAGCTGTTCGCTCTGAGCAAGGAGGACGATGTGACCAAGTATGTCAACACGTACCGCCGCAAGTACACCACCGCCAAGGGTGCGTATAACGAGTCGGGGATGAGGGGGTGACTGACGGGAATGCGTGTGTCGGGGATGGTTGACTGTACCAGGAGCGAATGTGATTGTAACGGGAGTGTGACAAGAATCCAATGAGTGTCTAGAGGAGGAGAGTGAGTGTAATGAGCATGATACCCGAATACAGAGGAGGACAATATGAAGGATGTAATGAGATGAAAAGACACCTTGGAGCCTCTTTCAGCCTCCTTCTCCCCTCCCTTTCCCTCTTCCCCCCGCTCTCCCACACCCCTGGTTGCCAGGCAAGAAAAAAAACAAGGGGCCTAACATCCAGCCCCTGGTGGCAACGCTCACCCCCCTCATTCCTCTCTTAACCCCCAATTTCACACACCCACCCACCTCCCCCCCCCTTCCAGGCAAGAAGAAGAGCAAGGGCCCCAACATTCAGCGGCTGGTGACCCCCCTGAAGCTGCAGCGCAAGCCCTGTTCTCCTCCATGTCTACCCCTGATTCTCCCACTCTCCATCCCACCCTCCCTCTGACACCCGCATCTTCTCCCCCCCTCCAGGCAAGAAGAAGAGCAAGGGCCCCAACATCCAGCGGCTGGTGACCCCCCTGAAGCTGCAGCGCAAGCCCTGTTCTCCTCCATGTCTACCCCTGATTCTCCCACTCTCCATCCCACCCTCCCTCTGACACCCGCATCTTCTCCCCCCCTCCAGGCAAGAAGAAGAGCAAGGGCCCCAACATCCAGCGGCTGGTGACCCCCCTGAAGCTGCAGCGCAAGCTCTGTTGCCCTGCATGCCCACCCCTGTTTCTCCCTCGTCCTTCCTCCCAACCCCTTCCCCTTATTCAGGCAAGAAGAAGAGCAAGGGCCCCAACATCCAGCGGCTGGTGACGCCCCTGAAGCTGCAGCGCAAGCGCGCGCGCCTCTCAGAGAAGAAGCAGCGCGTCGCCAAGGCCAAGTCCGCCGCCGCCGACTACCAGAAGCTGCTGGCGCTGCGCATCAAGGAGCAGAGGGAGAGGCGGTCGGAGTCCCTGGCCAAGAAGAGGGCTTCCAGGGCGTCGCAGGCCAAGCCCGCTACCGCCCCTGCTGCCAAGGAGTAAAGAGGTTGACGGGATGGGAGTTGAAAATGACTCGCCGGGCCATAGGGTATGGTTGGCAATTCTGCTTGTTGGTGCTGCTTGTTTGAATTAGAAATGCAGTTTGCAATGTAACGGTTGAAGAAATATACGAAGTTTATCCTTAGCGAGCCATTCAATAAACTGCTTGCCGAACTTTGTGTTACGATGTCGTTTCTCGAAATGCTTTACATATCGCTGGGATGTGTCCGGGTTCGATATTTAACCCACTCAACCGTTTTAGGCGTCTACTAGATCGCTCTGAACCGTGGAAATCAATTCTTGTTTTTCCCGCTTTTTTTGCCGCGAATTTATTCGGAATATCTCAGCGGAAATGGGTCGTCAAGCCTGACGACCCTCTGACGACTTGACGACATGCTGCCCCGGGCAGAAAAAAACTAAAACCCTATCGGATGGCATGCCATCCGAGGGAGGCATCAACCCTAAATCCATGCCTCCCTGTGTTTAGGGTTGATGCCTCCCTGACCGGATGCATGCCCGATAGGGTTTTATTTTTTTTGCCCGCGGGCAGCGAGCTCCCCCGGGCGGACTCGGTTGTCCGCTGAGATATATTAACCGGAAATCCGTTCATCTCCAAGCTCTGTTTCTCGCTGGAATATGTCCTGGAAAAAATGTAATTCGTGATCGGGTTACCCGAGTGTGAACCTCTTCCAGTTTCGCCGGTTCGCGTTCCCGCGATGGACCTGTCATGGCGGAGCCTCTTAATCTTCTCCGCTGTCGCGCGACTACTCATGATACTCTTCGGCGAGTGGGAGGACGCGTATTTGGAGGTTAAATACACGGATGTAGACTATTTGGTATTCACGGACGCGGCTCGGCTGGTAACCCTAGGTCGTTCGCCGTACGAGCGTTACACGTACCGTTATTCGCCGCTTCTCGCATGGATCGTCGTGCCGAACGTGCTGCTTCACCGCCTCTGGGGAAAGCTGCTGTTTTCTGCAGCGGGTGAGTTGATATGGGAACACAGGTTTTAGGTAAATCTTCTCTTCCCTCCGCAGCGGGTGCAGCTGATGCAGCTGGTGGGTATTGTGCCCTTTGTGTGTGCATCTGTGATGCATCTGTAAGGCATTCGGTTTTTGAGAATTCTAAAACGAATTCTTTAGAAGTCTGTGTCAGGCATTCGAAAGACACACAATAAGGCCTTCCGTGAGGAAGTGCAGTCAGGCATTGAGTCAGATTTATTAGAAAAAAAAAAACGTCAGACCCAGTCACGCTTTCAGTCAGGCAATCAGTTCAACATTCAGTTAGGCACTCAGACAGGTATTCCTTCAGGGTAATCAGTCCAGCATTGAGTCAAGCATTCTCTCACTTCGGTATTCAGTTAGGGAGCTAGTCAAACATTTAGTGAAGCATTTCTCACGAATTCAGTCGTGCGTTCCCTTCCTTGGTTTTCCTTTCTTTGCCAGATCTATTGGTGGGCCATCAGATTCGATCACTCCTGCTCCTACGTGGCATCTCTGACCGCGTGGCAGTTCTGTGTGCTGCCACGTGGCTCTTCAACCCCTTCACAGTCACCATCGCTACAAGAGGCAACTGTGACGCCCTGGCTGCTGCTCTCATTCTCCAGGTGCTGCTGGGGCTGCTGCAGGGTATGTCTGTATTAGTGTTTTGTTAAAGAAGGGAGAAGGATTTCATACAGACGAGACGACTCACGTTAGAATCCGGAAAAAGGACAACTGTGTTACTGTGATGCCCTGGCTGCTGCTCTCATTCTCCAAGTGCTGCTGGGACTGCTGCAGGGTATGCTGTTCTTGTTCTCTCTTTTGAGAATTGTGAAGGTGCGTGGATCTCGAATAGGGAGAATCATTATCTCACATAGTTTATCGTTTCCTTTCCCTCTCCTCTCCTCTCCTCTCCTTTCCCCTCCTCTCCTGTTTCCCCTTCACTTCCTACCTCCCCACTCCCCTCCCCCTTCCCCGGGCAGGACATATCAAATCTGCTGCTTTTTGGTTCGGCATCGTGGTGCACTTCCGAGTCTACCCGATAATTTACGCTCTTCCCTTCGTCCTGTACCTATTCCACACCTATCCGCTTCGAAGCAGCTCACACCATGACGATCCCAGTGACAGCAGCCCTGCTACAAATAACAATAGTACCAAAATCGCCAACTCATCACCTAATTCCTCCATTCCTGCTACAGCTGCTGCTACAGCCAGCTCCAAGTCAGGACAAAAAGTAGCTGCCACTGCTGCTACAAACAGCTCACTGTCTCGTCTTGTCAAGGGCCTTCAATTGCCGGTAGAGTTTGGCGTGGTCTCGGGCGGAACTTTCATCCTCGTTACAGCGCTGTGCTGGAGACTGTACGGGGATCGGTTTCTTAACGAGTCGCTGCTGTACCATGCGTCCCGGTCGGACCACCGCCACAACTTCTCAACTCACTTCTACGCAATATACCTGGTATGATTTTTGTGAAAATAAATAAATAAATAGGTTAATGCTTTAGATGCTCATGCCATATCTTCCTCACAGCATTGTCATGTCTTGTGCCTGAACTCATGGTCTGCCATGTGTCTCCGCTGTGTATCTCTCCGCTCTCCGCTTCATGCCAGATGACCAATCAGGGAGCGCCATCTGTCACAGACCGGATTCTCTCATTCCTGCCACAGCTGCTGCTGCAGCTCACATTCTCCAAAAAGTTCTACCATGACCTTCCCTTCTGCCTCTTTGCACAGACGTTTGCTTTTGTGGCCTTCAACAAGGTACGTGTGTTACGTGCCAAATAAGGTACACTAGGCTGCTCCAGCTCACCTTCTCCATCAAATTCTACCAGGACCTTCCCTTCTGCCTCTTTGCACAGACGTTCGCTTTTGTGGCGTTCAATAAGGTACGTCTGTAAGATATGTTCTGTGTGGCTTTAACAATGGACTGCTGCAGCTCACCTTCTCCATCAAATTCTACCAGGTCCTTCCCTTCTGCCTCTTTACCTTGGTCGCGTTTAATAAGGTACGTGTGTGTTACGCGCCTGAATAAGGTACAATAGACAACTGCATCTCATCATCATCTCATCATCACCCTGCCCTTCCCCATTCCCTTTTCCCCTTCCCCACCCCATTCCTGCTTCCCTCATTTTTCTTCCCCCTTCCTTTCCCCCCTCCCGTTTCCCCCTTTTTCCCAGGTGATAACCTCACAGTACTTTGTCTGGTTCCTCTTCCTCCTTCCGCTCATCCTTCCCTTCACCTCTCTCCGCCTCCAAAGTTACGGCGGACTTTGTCTTCTTCTGTGGCTTGCCGGCCAGTCGTACTGGCTCTGGTGGGCGTATAACCTTGAGTTTGGGGGGTATTCTTGCATGCTTCCCCTTTGGGTTGCTGGTATTGTGTTCCTTACCGTGAATGTGGTAATTTTAGCTTGCTTTATTTGGTGCCATACATTTACTCGTTATTTGCCCGTGAGTGTTTCTATAAAGAAGCAGAAACTTAGCTGACTGACGAGAGCCAGTGTACGCATGACTTCTTGGCATTTTTTATCCAATGCTACTACATTCTTACCAAAGCACAACAAGACATGCTTCTGCAGGGGTTGGAGATTGTCTGCATGTGCTGAAATCTTCCGCTTCCCATTCCATTATAGTGAGGTGAATAGGTAGATGGATTCTAAGGGCGCGTAACCATTTTGAACCGTCAGTGCGATTTTGACGTTACTGCATTTGTTGAGACTCGCAACTCAGCTTGCGAATAACCGTGCGACGTCGCACACGAAACGGAACCGGTTGGAACTTTTTGGAAATACGGTTTGTCAAGAAAATACAGGTTATATGAAACCGTTCAATTACCGTTCGTTTACCGTCCATTCGGAGAAAAACACACAACTTTAGCCAAAAGCAAATGGTTACGCGCCATAATGCCCTTGAGCTTGATGTTGTTCAGAATCACTTTTCTTCAGAAAGCAGCAGACAAACTGTCAGGTTGTACAAAGCAGGATACTTCTGAAAGTTTAGACTCTGGGCAGTTAGACTGGCTGATAAGATAGTGTCGACCTAAAACGAACGCAGAGAAGTCAAGGGACATCGCTGTAGCCCCGAACCAAGTGTACAAGGCCTATCAGTTCCCGCCAAACCAACTATTGCAGGCCTGGCTATTAAGTTTTAGATACCGAACCTCGAACCTTCTCGGACGTGCTTCGTCTGGCTTGCGGGGGTACCAGACGTGCGCTCCGGAGCACGCATCGCGGTAACTCTGAATCTTCTTCAATGTACCGTCTAGGGGACAGGATGATTGCTAATCGAGAAAGTCCACAAATACAAATAATCTGCCCGCGAGCGCGGCATCCCTCCACATACTATCTGCCCGTGCTTCAAACCCCTCGTTTACCTGAAATTTCTCAAGCGCGCCTCTTCATGTCTTTCCAAATGCGAAGTGTGCGAGTCGCTCGCGGCATGGTCAACTCGGCTCGTCGTTTGTCGCTTCCAGAGTGGTTTGATCTGTAACTCTCTACAATAACTCGCCGGTGGCCTGCGAGGGCATTCTTTATTTCGCCAATCAATGTATACCGAACTCAAGCTTTTCCAGCAGGCGCGGCACCACGGCTATCGCCGCCGTACCGCCGTAAATTCTCCCTTTCCTACCTAGATTCATTCATCGCATCGCGTCGCCATCTGCCTGAGATCGACGGTAAAGAATCAGGTACAGCAAAGCAGTGAACTCTGTGCACATATCTTTACCGTTCCCTGGTTGCACTCAAAACCTTCCTCATTTCTTCCTCCCGTTGTTTCTGTTCCTCCCATCCTCCCGTTGCTCTTGCTTGCTGCCGCAGCGATCTTGCTTGCTGTGACAGATCCTCGCCCCCACGTCCAACGTAAATGGGAAGCCAAACCAACCCCCTCCAGAGTTATGTCAGTAGATTTTTGTGGACACATGCCTAGTTACTTCTACAGTTTGTATTCCGTGTACAGTACACCAATGGTTCCGTTCACAAAACAGTAGTGTACAATGTCACGAGCATAAAAGTAGCGAGCCAAGTTGGCGCCAGCTCACTGCCGCCTGTTTTTGTGCTCCGCCGCAACCAAGCGTCACTCTCTCTCGTCTCGTCATGAGACGGACGGCACATGTCTGACGACGATCTCCGTCGCCGCCTCGCCTCGCGTCGTACTCGTAGCACACGGCCACAACTCCTCAGTGGTCAGCGCGAATGAAGGCAGCCATTAGTGATGGTCTTCGTTCACCCTCGACGACTAGGGTTGGAGGAGACTGCCTCGCGTTACACTAGTTAGACTCTTCTTACTAGTGCAGTTTGAGTTTACACGTTGGTTCTTTTCACCTCGTCTCGCCTCGTCTCATCCGCGGCAGTGACCTCAACTTGAGGGCTCTGCTCAGGGGAGAGTGATTGGCCGCCACATGCGGGCAGTCACAAATAACTAATACTCATTTTCTCCAAACTCGTCGTGGTAGTCCGCGCTTCGATCGGCGACTGAACCGTGACGTGCGGAAGTTCAGAGAAAAATAGTGGCTTCAGTGTTAGGAATTTATTACTCGCATCGTTTCGCCATTCGCTTAGCGTCATTCACCCGGCCGCGCCGACCACTCTTCCACCATTCACTCCCTCGTTCGCCCCGACATCTCAACATCGAGTAGTTATCGCTTGTAACTGCCTCTTTAGATTCCCGCTAATGTAACTTAGGGTCGGAGTCAAATACGCGTTTGAAGCTCCCTCCCAGTAGGTTTAATCCACACATTTTCGTGACCTATTTCATTCTTAGCGCCGCACTTTTAAGAATTTAACGACATGTGGGACGGGCGTTTCGGATTGGTGTCCAGTCAGCGCAATTCGCGGCGGCAGCGACACCGCGCCGCTGGTCAGCGCGGCCTGCTTTTCTCCGCAACGCTCGCGCTTGCGCTCGTGGCGGCGTGCCACGTGGACTCAACGGAAGCAACCGCCTTTAGAGCGACGGACGAGTTCAAGCCGCCATGTGGGCTCATGACGGCACCCGGAGCAGGCGGTAAGCGCTGCACACCCTATTTTTGGTGCTGTCAAGTTATAAACCCTGTGATGCCACTAAGAGCCCCCGTGCGGATGGGCCTCAAGATCGTCACTCAAGATATAACCGCCTGTGATGCCACTAGCTCGCGGGATCGTTTAGAGACACTGACGAGTTCAGGCCCCCTCGCGGTCTCTTGACGACACCCGGAGCCAACGGTAAGCGCCGCAGCGGCTACGTGAGATAAGGTTGGTCTTGAGATGTCTCAAAAGTAATTCCCAAAATGCTGGCTGATGACCAAACCCGCAGCCATGGCTAAGACAATCTTTGAGGCGCCGCAAAAAGCCCCCATGCGGACGGGTCAGGAGCCTATGGTAAGCGTCGCCGCGGTTTTGAATTGACTGGTTTTGAGTCAACTATAAAATTGAGCCCAGGAGCCCGCGGGTACGCGCCGCCGCGGGTGGTACTAGTGAGGCTTACGCCCAACACCTCCCCCTAACGTTCGAGGAAATAAGCGGTGGCGCGATTGGCGCACATGTGTGCGGAAGAGGTGGGAGGAGAGGGGGGAGAGGGGAGGAGGAGGAGGGTAACAATTGCGTTATTTTTGGAAGCGGATCGCTCGTAATCCAGCTTCTTGACACATTCTCCCTGCTCCCCGGCTTTCACCCTCCCCTATTCTTCCTCCTGCTCCCCCCGTTAACCCCTCCCGCGCCCCCGACTTTCCGCGTTTCCAGGATGGAAGCGGTGGAGCGATTGGCGCACGTGGGGCGGCCCGCTGCGCTTCCTGGGCGTGCCGGGGCGCGGGCTGCGGAAGTGGGTGGACGTCACGATCCCGTGCGGCGTCTCGATTCTGCTCGACGTACCCGATATAAGCGTGAAGACGCTCACCGTCAAGGGCTGGCTCAAGTGAGTCTCGCTGGCCCGTCCCCCGCTTCCCCCGGCCGCTCCCCTCCCCCCAACCGTCCCTCATCCTCTCCCCCTCTCTCCCCCTCTCTCCCCCCCCCCCCCCCCCACCACTTCCCCCCTTCCGCTCACCGTTAAGGGCTGGCTAAAGTGAGTCTCGCTGGCCCGTCCCCCGCTTCCCGCTCCCCGCAAACGCCCCCCACCCACCCCCTCTCTTCCCCCCCCACCCCATCCCTTCCAACCACATCCCCCCCCTCTCCTCTCCCCCTCTTCCTCCCCGTCCTCCCGTCGCCCCATCCCCCTCTCCCCATCCGCCCCCTAAAATCAGCGTCAAGGCGCGTTAGATCGTGGTGGTCCTGTCTCTTTCCGCACCCTCCGCCGCCACCCTCCCCCCAACCCCCCCCTTTTTAGGGTTCCGCACCCTTTTTGTCGCCCCCTGCGAATCAGCGTCATCCGCAGCATTTCATCTTTCCCCCCACTTCTGCACTCTTCTCCCATCCCGCCTTTTCACCAAACCTATCCCCGCCCTCCGCAGAGTGCTCTGCTCCCCCTCGCTCCCGCGAATCAGCGTCAACGCTCATATGATTGTCGTTATTCCTCCTCTCTCCGGCCCCTTCCGCCGCACTTTCCCCTCCGCAGGGTTCTCGATTCCCCGTCGCTCCCTAAGATCGACGTCAACGCGCATTTCATCGTCGTGATGGGGCGGCTGACGGCGGGCGAGCCGAGCCGCCATTTCTCGAGCCGCCTCACCTTCACCCTGTTTTCCGGGAGCCGCAAGCCGTACATGCTGTCGAAGCTCGCGCCGGCAGATGCGGCGAACCCTCGCGACCTGGGCCACAAGGCGTTCATCGTGGTACGTTGTTGTGGGATGCGGTGAGCCGTGGTGGGATGCGGCAACACGAGACTTAGAACCTAGAGAGGGGGGAGCCGCAAGCCGTACATGCTGTCGAAGCTCGCCCCGGCGGATGCGGCCAATCCCCGCGATTTAGGGCACAAGGCGTTCATCGTGGTACGTTGTGCGGAAATTGACTTAGAACCTAGAGGGGAGTTGCCGCAAGCCGTACGTGCTGACGAAACTCGCGCCGGCCGATGCGGCGAACCCTCGCAATTTAGGCCACAAGGCATTTATTGCGGTACGCTGGGGGGCCGAGAGCAGGGGGGGAGGAGGTGGGGTGGGTGGTCTGTTGACGCAAGGCGTTCATCGTGGTACGTGGTGGTGTGGGTGGGTGGGAGGGTTTGAGTGTGTAAGGCGGAGAAAGGGGGAAGGGGGAGGGGTGGTGGTGGTTTGGAAAGGTAGCGGATGGAGAGGGCACTTCTTGGGGGAACGTATGTTCTTGGCGAATTCTCAAAAAACATACGCTGAGGGCTCTTCTTGGGGGACTAACGCCAGCCGTTGATGCGGAAGAGTCTCAAGAGCCGTTGATGCTGAAAAATCTCAGGCCGGCAGGTGCGGGGAAGAGTGCTCTTGCCGCATGCCCCATGTTCCATGTTCCATGCCGTGGGGCCGGCAGGGCATGCCGGGCGGCAGTCTCACGTCATGTAGCTTCTCGGTTTCTTCCAATTTCATTCTTTCCCTACTCTTCTCCACCTCTTGATTTCCGTGGCCCCCATGTCAGGTGGGCGGGCAGGTGCAATTTCACGGCATGCCGGGCGGCAGCGACACGCCCTCGTGGGTGCGACTGAGTGAGACGGCCAGTGCCGGCCAGCGCTACGTCCTCGTGGACGCTGACGTCAGCAAATGGGCGGCAGGGATGACTGTAGCTCTGGCCTCCACCAGTAACGACCTGAACGAGGCGGAACACCATCAGATCACCTCAGGTGAAAGAATTCTCCTTCCTGAAAACCCTCCCCCCCCATCCCCCCTCCCCCGCTGGGTCACCATCCCCTCCCCTCCGAGCTCTGGCCTCCACCAGTAACGACCTGAACGAGGCAGAGCACCATCAGATCACCTCAGGTGAGAGAGATTCGGATGTGATTTGATTTCCTCCTGACTCACACCTCCTCTCCTCCTGTTGGTTATAACAACTAGCTACTTCCTTTTTTCCTTGTCCCTTTCAAATCCCTCGATCCCCCTCCCCTTCCCTGACCAACCCCCCCAACCCCACCCAACCCCACTTGAACCCCGACTTCCCAAAACCAGTTGCCGCTGACATCAGCAATCCTGGCGTTTTCCGCATCAACCTGCAGACCCCCCTGAGGCACACCCACCAGGGGGAGGTGTTACCTGACGGGGGCATGGGCACCGTAGGAATCTTCGGGGAAGTTGCGCTGCTGGACCGCCACGTCAGCATCCAAGGGACGAATGAGCCGGCGCCACATCAGCTCGACGGGGGCCATTTTATCATCTACATGACACCTACCAAGCAGACTCTGGAGGGTGTGCAGTTTAAAGGACTCGGAAATCAGGGGACACTGGGGAAATACCCCGTGCATTTCCATATCTGCGGGCAGGATGGGCAGGGTCACGTGGTTCGGAAAAACGCGATCGTGTTTACCCGACAGGTACGGGGAGTGAGACAGGTACGGGGAGTGAGACAGGTACGGGGAGTGAGACAGGTACGGGGAGTGAGACAGGTACGGGGAGTGCGACAGGTTTGGGGAGTGAGGCAGGTTCGCGGAGTGAGGCAGGAACCTTGACTGATACAGACATGGGGACTGAGACAGGTATGGTTCGGTTCCAGCAACATTTGGTCGCCTTTCCTCCCCTCCCTTCTCTCTCCCACTCCCACCAGCAATGCATGGTGATCCATGCCACGGGCAGCAATGCATGGTGATTCATGCCACGGGCAGCAATGCATGGTGATCCATGCCACGGGCAGCATGACGATCGAAGACAACATGGCGTACGAGAGACCAAGGGGCACTGCTACCTGCTGGAGGAAGGGAGCGAACTCAACAACCCCTTCCCTGCTCCCCTCTCTTCTCTTCTCCCATCCGCTCCCTCCTACCACACATCCTCAGAGGAGCATGGTGATCCATGCCACGGGCAGCATGACGATAGAGGACAACATGGCGTACGAGAGACCAAGGGGCACTGCTCCCTCTGCTCTTCTCCGCACTCCTCCCCTCTCCTCTCTCCCATTAAACGCCAACAGCGGTGCATGGTGATCCATGCTACGGGCAGCATGACAATCGAAGACAATGTGGCGTACGAAACGAAGGGCCACTGCTACCTGCTGGAGGAAGGCAGCGAGTAGTCAAGCTTGACAATCTGCTCCCCTCTCTCTGTTCCCCCTCCCCTTTCCCCTCCCCTCTTCAGAGGTGCATGGTGATTCATGCCACGGGCAGCATGACAATAGAGGACAATGTAGCGTACGAAACGAAGGGCCACTGCTACCTGCTGGAGGAGGGCAGTGAACTTAACAATAACTTCAGGCGCAACCTCGGGATCAACGCGAGGAAAGGTAGGGCCCATTAGGAGTCAAGTCAGAGGCCAGTTGAACACAATACGCTCTCGTCCCCACCGTTCCCAACCGTTCCCAACCGTTCCTCCTGGGTTTCTTGTTTGCGTTTGGCTCACTTTCCACATCCCCTCGCCCCACTCTGTGCAGTGGAGAAGGTGATACCCCCCGCCAGCAGCAGCAAGCTGGACAAGCAGACAGACAGACCGACAGAGGCAGGGAACAACAGCCTGTGTTCCTAACCGTTCCCAAACGTTCCCAACCGTTCCTAACCGTTCTCTTTCTCCCAACCTCTCCGCCACTCTGTGCAGTGGAGAAGGTGATCCCCCCCGCCAGCAGCAGCAAGCTGGACAAGCAGACAGCTGGCACTGCCACTGACCCTCTCTCTTCCTCGCCCCTTCCCCCTCCCCCCCTCCCCTCCCCCTTCCCCATCCCCACCCCCTCCCCCACGGTGCGTGCAGTGGAGAAGGTGATACCCCCCGCCAGCAGCAGCAAGCTGGACAAGCAGACAGACAGACCGACAGAGGCAGGGAACAACAGCCTGTGCTCCTAACCGTTCCCAAACGTTCCCAACCGTTCCTAACCGTTCCCAACCGTTCTCTTTCTCCCAACCTCTCCGCCACTCTGTGCAGTGGAGAAGGTGATTCCCCCTGCCAGCAGCAGCAAGCTGGACAAGCAGACAGACCGACAGAGGCAGGGACCGGCAGCCTGTGTTCCCCCATTCCCATCCGTTCCTCCCTTCCTCTCCCCACCCCCTCTCCCTCCACTCACTGCAGTGGAGAACGTGATCCCCCCCCCGCCAGCAGCGGCAAGCTCGACAAGCAGATGGACCGATGGAGAGATGAAAACAGAGAGAAACGGAGGGCCCCAAACTCACCCGTTGCTCGCTGTTTTCTTTCACTTCCTATCCCCCATCGTGCAGTGGAGAAGGTGATTCCCCCCGCCAGCAGCAGCAAGCTGGACAAGCAGACGGACCGACAGCCCACCACGTTTTGGCTGGGCACTCCGCACAGCAACTTCATTGACAATGTTGCTGCTGGCTCGGAAGACTCTGGGTGAGTGCATTGATTTATCTACACAGTAGGTTGTATGGCACTGTTGTCGACAGCCCACCACGTTTTGGCTGGGCACGCCCCACAGCAACTTCATTGACAACGTGGCTGCTGGGTCCGAAGATTCTGGGTGAGTACTACAGTAAATGAAATATCCCATATAATATAGATCTATGGCACTGTAGACAGCCCACCACGTTTTGGCTGGGCACGCCCCACAGCAACTTCATTGACAATGTTGCTGCTGGCTCGGAAGACTCTGGGTGAGTGCATTGATTTATGTACACAGTAGGTTGTATGGCACTGTTGTCGACAGCCCACCACGTTTTGGCTGGGCACGCCCCACAGCAACTTCATTGACAACGTGGCTGCTGGGTCCGAAGATTCTGGGTGAGTACTACAGTAAATGAAATATCCCATATAATATAGATCTATGGCACTGTAGACAGCCCACCACGTTTTGGCTGGGCACGCCCCACAGCAACTTCATTGACAATGTTGCTGCTGGCTCGGAAGACTCTGGGTGAGTGCATTGATTTATGTACACAGTAGGTTGTATGGCACTGTTGTCGACAGCCCACCACGTTTTGGCTGGGCACGCCCCACAGCAACTTCATTGACAACGTTGCTGCTGGCTCGGAGGATTCAGGGTGAGTACTACAGTATATATGTATACATTATATAGATATGTATAAAATTCTATGTCTGTGTCATGGTTATGTATATTGCACTGTAGACAGCCCACCACGTTCTGGCTCGGCACGCCCCACAGCAACTTTATTGACAACGTGGCTGCTGGGTCGGAGGACTCGGGGTGAGTGGTACAGTATTTTATATATACATTATATATGCATATGTAGGTTTATGTTGCCGTGGGTTCCGAGGACTCTGACTGAATGGCGACGCCATACATAGTAGGGGTGTCCCGCCTGCTGCCTCCCCCTCTTCGTCTCTCTTCATGCCACACTGCATTAACACTGTCTCTCCATCCCCTCCCCTTTTCCCTGGCCCCAGCTTTTGGCTGGAAGCAACACCATACATGAGAGGAGTGTCCCGCCTGCTGCCTGAGATCGGAGCCATCAACCCCCTCACATACAACTGGGGGGAATACTCGGGGAACGTGGCTCACAGCAACGTGTTTGGGTTTTCAAAAATACTCTCTCTACCCCTACTCCTTCCTCCCCTCCCCCCCAGCTTTTGGCTGGAAGCAACACCATACATGAGAGGAGTGTCCCGCCTGCTGCCTGAGATCGGAGCCATCAACCCCCTCACATACAACTGGGCGAATACACCGGGAACGTCACTCCGCTCTGGCTTGTACCAACTTGCTTCTCCTCCTCCCCTCCTCCCTTCCCACTTCCTGTAATCTCCAGCTTTTGGTTGGAAGCAACACCGTACATGAGAGGAGTGTCTCGCCTGCTGCCTCAAATCGGAGCCATCAACTCCCTCACATACAACTGGGGCGAATACACCGGGAACGAACGTCGCTCACAGCAACGTGTTTGGGTCCTAATAGCAAACGTCCCGCCCTTCCCTCCCTTCCCTTCCCCCCTCCGATACAATCCCCCAGATTCTGGCTAGAGGCCACCCCGTACATGAGGGGAGTGTCCCGCCTGCTGCCGCAGATCGGAGCCGTCAACCCGCTCACCTACAACTGGGGCGAGTACACCGGGAACGTGGCTCACAGCAACGTGTTTGGGTTTCAAAAGTACTCTCTCCCTACCCCCCCTCACCCCCTCCCCCCTCCTCCAGATTCTGGCTGGAAGCAACGCCATACATGAGAGGAGTATCCCGCCTGCTGCCTGCGATCGGAGCCATCAACCCGCTCACCTACAACTGGGGGGAATACACCGGCAGTGTCGCTCACAGCAACGTGTTTGGGTTTCGCACGTACCCGCACGGCTCGTATGCGCGCTACCCGGTGTATAATACAGACCCTGCTCCCTTGGAGGACTTTTTGATTTACCGCAACACAGTCGGGTGAGTGAGTGAGTGCACGTGCATGGATGGATGGATACCTGGCACACCGGCAATACCGCTCACAGCAACCTGTTTGGGTTTCGCACGTACCCGCACGGCTCGTATGCGCGCTACCCGGTGTATAATACAGACCCTGCTCCCTTGGAGGACTTTTTGATTTACCGCAACACAGTCGGGTGAGTGAGTGAGTGCACGTGCATGGATGGATGGATACCTGGCACACCGGCAATACCGCTCACAGCAACCTGTTTGGGTTTCGCACGTACCCGCACGGCTCGTATGCGCGCTACCCGGTGTACAATACGGACCCGGCTCCGCTGGAAAACTTTCTGATCTACCGCAACACAGTCGGATGAGTGGGAATGAGGGCGAGTGAGTGAGGGAATGAGCATGGGAGTGGGTGAGTGTGGGAGCAAGTGAGAATGGGAGTGTGGGAGCAAGTGAGAATGGGAGTGTGGGAGCAAGTGAGAACGGGAGTGTGGGAGCAAGTGAGAATGGGAGTGTGGGAGCAAGTGAGCGAGTGAGTGTGTGAAAGTATGGCACGACAACAATGCAGCTCACACGTACCCGCACGGCTCGTAAGTGTTCACCAGACACAATCGAAAGAACGATCTGGGTTTTTGAGACGTAGTGTGGTTCTGGCGCTCAAAAATAGTCCCAAGACTCTCTTCCCTCCCTCCCTCCCTCCCTCCCTCCCTCCCTCCCTCCCTCCCTCCCTCCCTCCCTCCCTCTCTCCCGCTCCTTTATGCCCTCCCCTCCCTTTCCCCCCCTTCACCCTCTTCTTTCGCCAGCAGGTTCTTCTTCAACAGCGAGCGCATCGAGGTCAAGAACGGAATCGTCCTTCCTGTATTCACTGCCCTTTCCACTCACTTCCTCGCCTCCCTCCCTCACTCCCTCTCGCCCCTCCTCCTCTCTCTTTTAACCTCCTCTCTCCCCACAGAATGTTCTTCTTCAACAGCGAGCGCATTGAGGTCAAGCACGGAATCATCCTTTCCTCTCCCCTCTATGTCAACTCGTCTTCCCCATCTCCTACTTCCTCCCTTCCCCCCCCCCTCTAGTGCCAACAGAATGTTATTTTTCAACAGCGAGCGCATCGTGGTCAACAACAGAACCGTTTCTTGAGCCGTGTTGCTCTGAGAGACACCTCAACACTCTCTTCTCCCCCTCCCTCTCCCCCCCCTCTTTCCAGGATGTTCGTCTTCAACAGCGAGCGCATAGTGGTCAAGAACGGAGTCACGTCGTTCCTGTCTTCACAGTCCTCGCCTCTCCCTTCCTCTTCTCTCTCCTCCCTCCCTCCCCCCCTCCCTTTTTCCCTCCTCCTTTCGCTTTTTCGCCCTCTCTATCTTTCCAGAATGTTCTTCTTCAACAGCGAGCGCATAGTGGTCAAGAACGGAATCTTTCTGGAAAACGCCGTGGGCATAGACCTGAGCCGCAACGTCAAGCTCTCAGCCTCTGGCTGCAAGTTCATCGCTCGAGCTGCCGTTGCTCCTTCTGGTTCTGCTGGTGCTTCTGGTGCTGGTGGTGCTACCGGTTCTGCTGCTTCTCCTGCCGCTGCTCCTGCCGCTGCTCCTACTCCCCCTCCTCCTGCTGCTGCTGCTTCTCCTGCTCCTCCTCCTCCTGCTACTGCTACTACTTCGTCCTATTCTTCCTCTTCTGCTACCGTTCAATATATCAGAAGCACCAGCAGCAGCAGCACAATTCCCGGCGCCGATTTTGATGCGGACTTGGCTTTAGCTAAGGGCCCGACCACAGTCACTCAACCCGACAGCCTCTCGCTCGCTCTCGGGCCGTTAGACGAGGTGTATGGTGCTGGTACGTACGTGGTGCTCTAGAAGCTTGACTCACACCTGTTGTTTTTGAGACGTCTCAAAAACACCCTCACTTCACGTCTCTAGAAGCTAGACTCACACCTGTTGTTATAGCTGGTTTTGATTCGGACGTGGCTTTGATTAAAGGCCCGACCACTCTCAAGCCAGCCTCTCTGGTACGTGCTGCTCTGGGGGGGGGGGGGGGGGGGGGGGGGTTGATTCTGAACCTGCTTCTCGTTCCCTTCAACTGAAGGATCCGACCACTCTCACTCAACCCGACAGCCTCTCCCTTGCTCTCGGCCCATTGGACGAGGCCTATGGTGCTGGTGAGTGCTGCTCTGCTCTGGGGGGCTGTTCTTGCACCTGCTTCTGATTCAGTTGTGTTCAAAGGAGCCAGCCCAGCCTCTCTCTTAACCCAATAGTGTTTCCCTTGCTCTTGGCCCGTTGGACGAGGTGTATGGTGCTGGTGAGTGGTGCTCTTCTCTACGCTCTCTTTTTTTTTTTTCATACATATGGACTTCACTCACCCAGAGGTTCAAGAGCTCAAGAGCAAGCCGGGCGCGCTGGCAAGAGTGAAGCAGCAGCAGAGGGCAGGGCCGATGCAGCGGGTGATAGGGGACGGCGGCATTAACTGAGTGTTCCCCTGTCTGCCCACCACCACTGCAGGAGTGGACTTCACCCGGCCAGAGGAGCAGCTGTTTCAAGAGCTCAAGAGCAAGCCGGGCGTGTTGTATCTTGCACTCCTTCACATGTGGTGTGGTATGCGGTGCTATGCGGTGCCCTGTGGTGCTCTAATGCGTGCAGGAGTGGACTTCACCCGGCCAGAGGAGCAGCTGTTTCAAGAGCTCAAGAGCAAGCCAGGCGCGCTGGCTCGAGTGAAGCAGCAGAGCAGATGGGGTGGGGCCGATGCAGCGGGTTATCGGGGACGGCAAGACAGGAGGGGGGTAGCAGGACTGGTAGCTTCAGTTTCCCCTCTCTCTCTCTCCTCGTTCCCACCTGTTGTGCGTTGCTGTAATGCGTGTGCAGGAACGGATTTCACTCGCCCAGAAGAGGAGTTATTTAAAGAGCTCAAGAGCAAGCCGGGGGCACTGGCACGAGTGAAGCAGCAGCAGATGGCGGGGCCGATGCAGCGGGTGATTGGAGACGGCAAGACAGGCAGCTTTGAGTCGCCTGTGGGGATTGTCGTCAGCCAGTGCAACCCATCGGACCCCCCTGGACCCAACTCCATTCAGAATTCCTTGTGAGTACCGAATCCACCAGCTTGACTCCCGTATGTAGTTGGAACTGGGTAGTAGCAGCAGCAGCAGCAGATGGCGGGGCCGATGCAGCGGGTGATTGGGGACGGCAAGACAGGCAGCTTTGAGTCGCCGGTGGGGATTGTTGTCAGCCAGTGCAACCCTTCCGATCCCCCTGGACCCAACTCCATCCAGGACACCTTGTGAGTGTTGACTCTATTGACTTTGTTTGACTCTGTTTTAATTTGTTTGACTTTGTTTGACTATGTATGACTTTGTTTGACTACCTATGACTTTGTTTGACTATCTATGACTGTTGACTCTGGGGTTAGTGCTAGCTTTGAGCCGCCTGTGGGGATCGTGGTCAGCCAGTGCAACCCTTCGAATCCCCGTGGGCCAATCTCCATTCATCTCCCATCTCTACTTCCCCTCCCCCCCCAAATCATGTTTTGAGCCAAATCATCTCTCTCTTTGCTCCCTCCTTCCCTCCAGCTTCTCAGGCTACGGTGCTACGGACGATGCCAGCTGTGCTGTGCCGTGTTGCTCACACCGCCTTGCACATGGCATGGCAGAATCCTGATTCGCCCCATTTCTACCCTCTCTTTTCGCCCTTCCCCCAGCTTCTCAGGCTACGGTGCTACGGACGATGCCAGCTTTGCGGTGTTGCTCACACCGCCTTGCACATGGCACGGCACAGACCTGATTCGCCCCATTTCTACCTTCTCTTTTCGCCCTCCCCTCCAGCTTCTCAGGCTACGGTGCTACGGACGATGCCAGCTGTGCTGTGCCGTGTTGCTCACACCGCCTTGCACATGGCATGGCAGAATCCTGATTCGCCCCATTTCTACCCTCTCTTTTCGCCCTTCCCCCAGCTTCTCAGGCTACGGTGCTACGGACGATGCCAGCTTTGCGGTGTTGCTCACACCGCCTTGCACATGGCACTGCACAGACCTGATTCGCCCCATTTCTACCTTCTCTTTTCGCCCTCCCCTCCAGCTTCTCAGGCTACGGTGCCACGGACGATGCCAGCTTTGCCGTGCTGCTCACTCACACCCTCTTGCACATGGCACATGTTTTGAGCCGAATAATCCGTAACCCCTCTCCTCCCTCTCTTCTCTTCCCCTTCCCCCAGCTTCTCAGGCTACGGTGCTACGGACGATGCCAGCTATGCCGTGCTCCTCACAGCCAACCACGCGGGCGGGTACTGGAACAGTGCTTTCTTTGTCAAGGTGAGCAATGAGTGTACATTTACTAACATTCAGCACTAACATTGCTGTTTTGAAACCTTGAAAAACACTACATAGGATGACGACAATCAGTCTTCTTTCACTTTTAAGTCGACTCAACAGTCGCTTAAAAGTCGGCCCATACAAACAATCTTCCCTTCCCACCCTCCCTCCCACCGCCCACCCCACCACAGGGCCTAACATTTGGTTCTGGAACCAACAAATTCTGGGCTACTCCCAACCCTGTAAGCTATAAATAACTCATTTTTTAAAAATCATCCATCCACTGAATTATCTTTCCATGTGACACATGATCAAGGTATTATTTCCCTTTGCCCCCTATTTGAATGGCTGGTTACCGATTGTTGCAACCCTTTTTTTTCATATATATACAGCTCCCAGCTAAGGTTGCCCATGTCTAATAAACAGTTCTCAAACCACTATTTCCCCATTATCATCACACGCAGACCTCAGGCACGCCGCCCCGGGGGGGTCTGGTGGCGCGCTTCTACGCCATCCGGGATCTCGACGGATCCCTCCTCGGCCAATCAGGCTTCGCCGTTGCCAACTACGATCCGATCCTGCCGCCCCCCGCTGTCCGGGCGGCAAAGTGCAACTTTAAGAGCGCAGAGAACGCATATGTGTGCACGGGAGTGTGCTATCGATCGGTGGGGATCGGGTACCACGAGTGGGGAGTGCGACCAAACGGCATGGCTGGGCTTCCGGCTTACGTCCTGAGGCCTTATAGGTGAGAGAATGGGAGAGTGAATGGGTGGGTGGGTGCTCGTTGGACAGTGCGCAGACCGTGTGTGCGTGCACGGGAGTGTGCTATCGATCGGTGGGAATCGGGTTCCATGAGTGGGGAGTGCGGCCAAACGGCTTGGCTGGGCTTCCGGCTTACGTGCTCCGTCCGTACAGGTGGGAGGATGGGTGGGTGGATTGGCTAGTGGGACCGGTACAAGGTTGAAACGAGAGAGGGCACAATGTGTGCACGGGGGTGTGCTACCTACCTAGCGGTGGGAGGCAGTGGGGGATGACGGCCAACGGCTTGGCTGGGCTTCTCGCTTACGTGCTCCGACCGTACAGGTGAGAATAGTGTGGGTGGATGAGTGAATGGATGGGTGGGTGGTTCAAAGAGAGAGCGCAGTGCGAGTGCCGTCCGGGCGGCAGAGTGCGATTTCAAGAAGGAGCAGAACGCGTGTGTGTGCGGGGGGGTGTGTTATCGATGGGTGGGGATCGGGTATCATGAGTGGGGGATGGGACCGAACGGCATGGCTGGGCTTCCGGTTCACAGACTACGGCACTTGAGCTCACCCAGGCAACAACAATCCCCACAACAGTTGAGAGGCGATGACAGCTCCTTCTCACCACACCCCACACCTTATTTGTCCCCGTTCTTCTTCTGCTTTCCCAATCCTCCCGTGGTGCAGTTACGTGGTTGTTACAAGACTGGAAGACGGGGGCTGTGTTCACAGACTATGGCACGGACAACGACAACCCCAAAAGCTTCTCCCCCTCCCTTCCACCCACCCCTTCCCTCCCACTAATCGCAACCTTGCAGTTATGTCGTCGTGACAAGGCTAGAAGACGGGGCTGTGTTCACAGACTATGGCACGGACAGCGACAACCCCAACAGCGCTCTTCTTCCTCTCCTTCCCCTCTCCCCATTTCCCCCCCCCTTACTGCTGCCTTGGCCAGTTATGTGATGGTCACGCGCCTAGAAGACGGGGCTGTGTTCACAGACTACGGGACAGATAATGGCACGGACAGCGACAACCCCAACAGCGGCCCGGCCGGGCCAAACAAGAAAGCCAAGGGCTACCTCACATCCCCACCACCTCCCCTTTTCCGGCTTCTCCTTTCCTGTCTTACAGCTATGTGGTGGTAACCAGGCTGGAGGACGGGGCTGTGTTCACGGACTATGGCACGGACAATACACCGTTACCATTACACCGTTACCATTACACCGTTACCATTAGACCGTTACCATTACACCGATACCATTACACCGTTACCATTACACCGCTACCATTACACCGTTACCATTACACCGTTACCATTACACCGTTACCATTACACCGTTACCATTACACCGTTACCATTACACCGTTACCATTACCCCAACAACGATAACCCCAACAGCGGCCCGGCTGTACTGACCAAGAAAGTCCGCCGCTACCTCACAGCCTCGCTGCTCGCCGGATACACCTACCGCCTGCGCATCGTGCCGGCGCCCACCAACCCGCTGTTCTGAGTTCTAACCCCACACCCCCTCTTCTCTGCCCCTCCTCTACCTCCCCTCTCCCCCTCCTCTCCCCTTCCTCTCCCCCTCTTCCTTTCCCTGCTGGCAGTTACGTGGTGGTGACGAGAGTGGAGGATGGAGCTGTGTTCACAGACTACGGGACAGACAACGATAACCCCAACAGCGGCCCGGCTGTACCGACCAAGAAAGTCCGCCGCTACCTCACAGCCTCGCTGCTCGCCGGATACACCTACCGCCTGCGCATCGTGCCCGCGCCCACCAACCCGCTGTTCTATCCCCAGGGGATTTTCGTGCGGTCGTACGACCAGGAAGGGTGCGCGGGGGCGGTTACGGTGATTCTGGAGCCCAAGGATGCGAACAGCCAATGGGTGACCAACACCCCCACCATGTGAGTACAATCTAGCAAGGAATGCTACGATGCGGGAGTGTTTGTGCGGTCGTACGATCAGGAGGGGTGCGCGGGGGCAGTGACGGTTGTTCTGGAGCCCAAGGACGCGAACAGCCAATGGGTCACCAGCGTTTCCACCATGTGAGTAAGGGAGAGGGTTTTGTGCCGGCGCCCACCAACCAACCCGCTGTTCTTCCCCGCCGGGGTGTTTGTGCGATCGTAGGATCAGTCGTGTTTTGAGCCGACTCAAAACACGGTCGTACGATCAGGACGGGTGCGCGGGGGCAGTGACGGCGATTCTGGAGCCGAAAGACGCCAACAGCCAATGGGTGACCAATATCCCCACCATGTGAGTCCAGGGGAGTTGGGGGGAGGGGGGGGGGAGCTTGGCACGTGCTCAATGTGAGTAAGACGATCAGGACGGGTGCACGGGCGCAGTTACGGTGATTCTGGATCCGAAAGACGCCAACAGCCAATGGGTGACCAATATCCCCACCATGTGAGTCCAGGGGAGTTGGGGGGAGGGGGGAGGGAGCTTGGCACGTGCTCAATGTGAGTAAGACGATCAGGACGGGTGCACGGGCGCAGTTACGGTGATTCTGGATCCGAAAGACGCCAACAGCCAATGGGTGACCAATATCCCCACCATGTGAGTCCAGGGGAGTTGGGGGGAGGGGGGAGGGAGCTTGGCACGTGCTCAATGTGAGTAAGACGATCAGGACGGGTGCACGGGCGCAGTTACGGTGATTCTGGATCCGAAAGACGCCAACAGCCAATGGGTGACCAATATCCCCACCATGTGAGTCCAGGGGAGTTGGGGGGAGGGGGGAGGGAGCTTGGCACGTGCTCAATGTGAGTAAGACGATCAGGACGGGTGCACGGGCGCAGTTACGGTGATTCTGGATCCGAAAGACGCCAACAGCCAATGGGTGACCAATATCCCCACCATGTGAGTCCAGGGGAGTTGGGGGGAGGGGGGGGGGAGCTTGGCACGTGCTCAATGTGAGTAAGACGATCAGGACGGGTGCACGGGCGCAGTTACGGTGATTCTGGATCCGAAAGACGCCAACAGCCAATGGGTGACCAATATCCCCACCATGTGAGTCCAGGGGAGTTGGGGGGAGGGGGGAGGGAGCTTGGCACGTGCTCAATGTGAGTAAGACGATCAGGACGGGTGCACGGGCGCAGTTACGGTGATTCTGGATCCGAAAGACGCCAACAGCCAATGGGTGACCAATATCCCCACCATGTGAGTAAGGCATTGCGGAGTTCAGAGGGCAGAGAGAAGAGAGCAGAGAGGGAGAGGGCAGTATGGCTTATCAGGCCAAGCTGGCGACCCGCATAGAGCAGAACAGCCACTCTGTATTAACCAGCACACTGTCTTCACTTTTCCCCCCTGCCTCTCAACCACCCCATATAGTCCCTGCACGGGTCAAAACAGCAGCCTGGCCTACCAGCAGCACCAGTGCATTGATGGGCAGGCCAAGCTGGCGATTCAGATAGGGGAGAGGGAGGGCAGATATGGCACAAAGCCGACTCAGCATGCATTCTCCTCCCTTCCCCCCCTGTCCTGTCCCCCCTCCCAGTCCCTGCACGGGTCAGAACAGCAGCCTGGCCTACCAGCAGTACCAGTGCATCGACGGACAAGCGAAGCTGGCGATCCGCATAGGGGAGAACAGCTACGGCAATCACGCCATCGTCAACTCTACTGCTGCTGCCAGCCAGACGTGCACAGAGGACACGTGAGTTCATATTTCCTTCCAAACTATGGGTGCATGTGCACATAAGGGAGAGAGAACAGCTACGGCAATCACGCCATTGTCAACTCCACTGCTGCTGCTGCTGCCAGCCAGGCATGCACACAGGACACGTGAGTTCTATTGGTTTGGGCGTGGGCGTATATGTCAGGCTTCCTTTTCATTGGTGTACGTTTTGAGTTATGTTCACTGCACCGCCTGCCACCGCCTCCAATTTCCACGCCACGTCCCACGCAGAGTTCCACTCTTAGTTGCTCAAAACCTGCCGCCTCTTGTCCATACGTCTCCCTAAACCTGAACTCTCTCTCTTGCCCTTCCATTACCCCACGGTACCCCCTGCCTTTCCCACAGACCTTGTTCCACGACTGCCGCAGCACCTTCCTCCACTCCCCAGGCCTCCCCCTACTCCTCCGATCCCCTCACTCCCATGTCCACTTCCGCTCAGCCTCTCTCCCCCACTCGCACAACGGCCGGCAACATCGACCCTTTCTATGACCCCGCCTTTTATGCTCCCTCGTGATTCTTGCCATGGGAGCTTCTCCGATCAGGTTTCTACTAACACGTATTTTCGCAGAACCGGCAACCTTTATCTGCAAGATTTTGTACCTGGTTGCCACATTGTGACATGCGAGCCTGAGAGGAGTTGTGCACTTATGTATCGAATTAGATGTTCTACTTATCACACCTTGTTGGACTAATCTTGGTATTATATACGGTATTCGCCGATCACTTAGATGGTCACCTGTACGGGGATTGTTAGTGCAAACACAACATGATTGTTGCAACACTGAAACGAAATTAAGGGGATGTTGTTAAGCGTTGTCCTTCTGACTGATACAGATTCCAGCGCAGCATCAAGACGCTTTGCTAGGTTGCGTATAAAATGCCACGCTGGCAATCTCTTACGTGGCCCAAAAGCCCTTTCCCCGTATTTCCCCCAAATTCCGTGCTCTTGGTTCTATATCCACACCCCCTTCTGTGCTGACGTGTCGAAGTTTGACTGATTGACTCCACACACACCAAGGCTTCCCCCCCGAACCTCCGTGGGTTCGGCGGGGCTTTCGGCCTTTCATCTGTCAGCCATGGCTCTGGATAAGTTGTAAACGTCCGATCAAAAGAAGAGTAAATCTTGGCCGTTAATTGATATTCGCGCAACAAGGAGCCTAGACTCCTACTAACTTACCCTTTCCCAGGTGGTTTTTAAAACTAGAATACTACTATTGATACTACTATTGGAACTCAATCAGGCGGTCGTTCTTCTGCAGCCTTTTCTGTGGCTTCAAATAGTCCTGTCAGATTCTTCAACTAGGGCTGCTTTAGCCAGAGAAAATGGCTCTCCTTGCTCGTGCTTCCGCGATGGCCGTCGCAGAGCTCGCAGTCTCCACGCGACTATCAGCGACGTCGCCGTGCGAAAGCTTATCTAGCGTCGCCTCCTTCGCGCCGACTCGCTGGGTTGCCGCTACTTCCGCCTCGCGGCAACCACAATGGAGCCGGGCCACCCGATTGGTCGTCCGTGCAGAGACTGAGAGCAAGGGCTTGACCCGAGAGGGAGTGCTCCAGGTACTTTATTCCTATTAGTATTATCATGCTAAATGCATCGGCTTTTTTTCGCCTACGTATGGTTTCTTTCGACGATGTACCGAGTCGCCGTCACGGAGATCCATTGAGGATTTTGAAGTTGTCTTGGTAGTTTGTGGGTGGTTGGTCAATCCCTGCATTGTTTTGAGTCAACTTTGAACACAACGGGTGGTTACTCACTCATCGTTATTGGCTAGTCGCTCAATGGGTTGTTCGGATTGGCCGAATGACACAGTTGGAGCTCACTGACGTTATAGCGACGTCTTACTTGTGGAGACCCTAGTGCATTTTCGATCGTTCTCCACAGGAGTCAGTGTGTCAGACTGGCCCTTAGTGTTTCACACCCAGTTAATCGTACATATCCAGGTACTACAGAGCGGAACTCCGTACTGAAAATGCTGCCTTTGTCGGTCTGGGAAACAGAGTGGGAGAGGAAGTAAATGGAGGAGGAGTGAAGAGGTGAGGTTTGAGGAGAAAATAGTAATGCCTTTCGTTGGACCAGGTTCAGACAAGTTTCGTCATGATTTTTCGAGAAAGTGCTCATTCAGAGCTGGTCGTTCTCAAACCGTCTTGCGCTCACTCTCCCCGTTTCGTCGGGTTCCCAGGTGGCTCCTCTTGTGCTAGAAGTGATGCCTGGGCAGTATTTTGCGCTCTCTCTTTCTCTCCTTCATTACATGGCTCTCTTACTTCCCAAAGTGACAAATGGATGAGATCCAATGCCCGTCACGTGGCCATTTCTGTGGGTTGCATGGGTCCGCAGACCATGAGCATGGATCAGACGCAGCCGGACAGTAGTGATCACTTGCGCATTCACTTTCCCTCCCTTCAATCACCAGGGCAGCAGATGGCTGAGCTCGAACACCCGTCACGTGCGCATCTACGTGGGATACATCGACCCAGAGACAATGGAGATGGACCAGACGCAGGCGGACAAGTCATGATCACTCTTCGCATTCACCCTCCCTCCCTGTATTCACCTGGGGGGGTACATCGACCCACCGACCATGGAGATGGACCAGACGCAGGAAATCAATTCATTTCATGTTTTTTGTTATGTCTGTCTCCCCCTCGTGTATCACCAGGGTGGCAGATGGCTGAGCTCCAACACCCGCCATGTGCGCATCTACGTGGGTTACATTGACCCAGTGACCATGGAGATGGACCAGACGCAGGCGGACAAGCTGTCGCTGATGCTGGACACGGACAATGAGTTCCTGTGGACGCCCGAGACGGAGAAGAAGGTGTATGACAAGTTCACAGAGCTCGTGGAAGGCTATGCGGTGAGTCGGTGCTATGCGGTGAGCGGGTGTGGGAAGGGGTGATGGTGTTTGGTGGGTCGCAGGTGGACAAGCTGTCGCTGATGCTGGACTTCCACGTTTCTGTGGATGCCTGAGGAGACGGAGAAGAAGGTGTATGACAAGTTCACAGAGCTCGTGGAACGCTATGCGGTGAGTCGGTATGGGATGGGGGAGTGGAGCTGAGGTGTTGAGAGCTGTCGCTTCTGTTGGGCGCGGAGAAAAAAAACATGTGGACGGTAAAACGGAGGAAAAGGTGTACGACAACTTCACAGAGCTCGTGGAAGGCTATGCGGTGAGTGGTTGTGGGAAAGGGGGATGTTGTTGAGCTGGTGAGGGTTGTCGCTGCTGCTGGTCACGGAGAAAAGGTTCCTGTGGACGCCCGAGACGTAGAAGGTGTATGAAAGTTCACAGAGCTCGTGGAAGGCTATGCGGTGAGTCGGTGCTGTGTGGTGAGTCGGTGCTATGCGGTGAGTGGGTGTGGGACGGACGAGGGAGTGATGTTGAGACGCTGAGAGCTGTCGCTGCTTTGGACAACGATAGTGAGTGGCTGTGACGGGGGAAACAAGTTCACTGAGCTTGTGGAGAGCAATGCGGGGAGACGGTATGGGATGGGGGAATGTGGCACGAATGGAAGCCTGTTAGAAACGTTGACATGTGGGTGCAAGCGTGTGGAGATGTGTGTAGTGACTGCGAGTATCCTGACAGCATGTAGAACTTCTTCAAGCTTAGGCTAATGACCAGTGAGAGGCCTTGTATCTTAAAAAATAACAAGGCTGAACAATCCATGTGGCAATTCCTGAATCAGAGCAATCCCATTTTCCCACTTGCAGGGTGCTGAGATGTCGGAGTACACGCTTCGCCTGATTGGCTCTGACTTGGAGCACTTCATTCGCAGTCTGCTGTTGGCTGGAGAGATCTCGTACAACTTGGACTGCCGGGTGCTCAATTTCAGCATGGGCAAGCCACGCATGCCAGATCCTGCTGCTAAGTGAGGTTAAGGCCGTGTACTCACAACAGAACACCATCTGTCACCATAAACTTGAATATACGCTTGATTAAGATGCCCATTTCGTGAGTCTGGCTTTAATTCGGACGAAGTGGTAAAGAAATTTCAAGCGATCTTAGATGTGGTTCAACCCTGGCAGGCTATTTGCTTTTGAAATTAGTGTAACCATTTATGTGTGGATAGCTACATATCATTAATGGATTTGTTTTCGATCAAGTGTATGCTGCATTTGACGTGGGGCCAGAATAAGGGTCCAGCAGAACCGAATACGTAGGTACAGTATTCTCTATTCTCCACTTTACCAAGCCTACAAAGCGAACTTGATAACGACAAACTGACTACAATGCCGAACAGCTGGCTTCACGCATCCCGTCCCCGACATGCCGCAAACTGTATACACTTTCGAGAAGATGGGGCATGGTGCGTGGAGAATGGGGTTGTCCTCGTCAGCCTTGGCGTGAGCAGCAACCTCCTTTTGAACGCGGGGCACCTAACAATGCTTTCACATTGGCCAGCGTAGGCACATGCCTCGTGTGGAAGTGCCAGCGTGGAGACAACGGGTACAGCTGATTCGTCTATCTGGATTTCGCCACGGCAACAACCTTCCCAAGTTCCCCTTGCGCCGCAACTTTGCGACACTGCACATCTCCCCCCCACCCCCTCTCCTCCAAGTTTACTTCCCCCTTCAACTTATCTGCCAGCAAATGCGGGATTCTGGGAAGATTTCCGCGGGATTACCGCTTCAGTCAAATTTACGTTAGCAGACGTTATTGTACCCTCCGAAGTCCGTCAGCCACACCTCCCTCGGCCACCATGCCGCCAACTTCCTCGCAACCCTGTTTCGCACATGCGGGTCCGTCTCTCCTCCACTCCGGACATTCCTTGACCCCCTTCAACCAATCAGAGCCATCTTCTCAGTTGTCTTCTCCAACCTATGCTGCCCCTCCGTTTCTTTCCGCTGCCTTACCATCCCCCCAACCCCCCAACCTTCAGTTTCCCCCTCTTCCCCACCCCAACCCCATCCCCGTACCCCCAGCTGTCGGGCTTCCCTTCCGTTCCGACACTACATTCCAGATCCCCCCCCCCACCCAACCACCACAGTCCGTCAGCTTTGCCAACCAATCCCACAAAGTTCCCTTCCGCCTTTGCGTTGCGCTTGCACGCTCTAGAAGCATCCCCCAACCGCCTACAGTTTCTTTGGACTTGTGAGGCACTGAGGCGCCATGGAGGCTATTTAGGTTCGCCTCATTCATGTTGTGGTTTCTGTTAGCACATTACAGTCCTCCTAATCCTTTCATTGACTGGCTGCAACTTCAACGCTCGTCATCTTGCGTGACTGCGGTATATCGGCTCTGGTGACTGGTAGTCTGTTCATACTTTCTTGAATTGGGACTTATCATGTTCTCACAGCCGTCCACACTTCCCAGTCACGTCGCTTTGGGCATAGCGGCTGCTAAGGAGCGTCCGTCTTCCGTCCGAATTGACCACCATCACGGAGCGGATTTGCTGGGATCATGCCATTTCAGTTCCGCCGCTCACGCCGGTGATGATTTGACGGAGGACGACGTGTGGTCAGTCAACGACACTGACAGTCTGTCAACTGACAGCCATTCTTCAAAAGACGGGATTTTATGAATAACCGTCTTCATACTCCGTCCAAGCATACCGGCTCGGCAGCTCGCCAGCTGGAGACTTTCGACGCCGTGCGCGCTGGCGTTTTCCACATCAAAGCGTAATGTTAGTGTATTTACAAGCTGGGAGCTGGCTCTCCTGCAATCGCATTTTTCAAGGACCACTTGTTGAAGGCTTTGGCGACGCCGGTACCTTCAAGCGTCTAATACTGGGATTGAGCTGTCAATTCTGCTTTGCTGTGTTTCCAGTTTTACCATGGACTACGGTACCCTAAAGCTTTTTAGAACTGAACGATTTCATACTGTTTGCAGTTGCCATCTGAGCTATGTGTTTGTATTCTCAACATGCTGTTCTATGCAGTATTTCATGGTTGCAGGGCATACTAAACATGAGATGATTGCTCAATCAGGCTAGACAAGCCAACCCTTGCTTTGTGCACCAGGGGCACATTACAGGTTCTTGATTGTCCAGTTTTAGAAGACTGGTTCAAATAAACTCCAACATAGGAACTCGTTTATACAACACCTCGGGACAACACCTCGGTAGCACTGCGGTAATATTTGATTAATACTAGTGATTTATTTCCCACTACCAATAACTGCTGCTGCATCTACCGGTAGTTACCAACAATTGCAGATGCGGTACTTACTGCTACACCTGTCCCCACCTTATGCACAGTGAAGAAAGAAAATCCACCTCCCTCTCTATGGGCTTCCAGGAAACAGCAGGTGATTCTTACCCACGCGGCTCACCCTTAGTCTTCAGGCACCTCAAAACTTTTATGTACGTCGGCGCTCAACCGCTTTTCGAGGCACCTAAAATCACAGCTTCCCAGAGAACAGACGTGCTCCTAAAATCACAGCTTCCCAGAGAACAGACGTGCTCCTAAAATCACAGCTTCCCAGAGAACAGACGTGCTCCTAAAATCACAGCTTCCCAGAGAACAGACGTGCTCTACTCTTGCTGCGCCAGTGCTGCTGCTGCTGCTCCCTCTGGAATATGCTTATCAAAGCACCGTGTGGGGGTCGTCTGCTCCACCAGCATAGAAGCTCGGGTCGAAGAACGGGTCTGTGGAGGAAAAGGCCGACTCGCTGTCGGCGAGAGGCGCGATGGAGAGGGGCGGTAGAGCAGCAGAAGTGATGGTGGAGCAACCCCTGTGGATTGAGATGAGTGGGGGATAGGAAGAAAGCAAGGCAAGGGAGGTGGGAGGGAGAGATCAAACAGGGAGGGGGGAGGGAGAATACCCATCAGATGCACCATCTGCATGGACAAATCGGATGTAGCAGGGCATTTTTGAACATTCAAAGAGAAAAAAAATGCACGTATCAGTCAAGCAGCACTCACGAGTCGGAGGAGCAAGCAGTGCTGACGCCTTGATCCAATTCCATCACAACCGCTGCCTTTCCACTGCTACTTGTCAACAACATACACCTGTATGATGTAGTCACACTACCTGTGGAATATAGTCGCACATACATATCACTCAAGCAGCACTCACGAGTCTGAGGAGCAAGCAGTGCTGACCCCTTGATCCAACTCCATCACAACCGCTGCCTTGCCACTGCTGCTCGCCCCAACATCCAGCCGCAGCCGCGCCTTCCCCGCCCCGCACGCGTACTCCTTATAAACCCTCGTCTCGTTAACATCCGCGCAGGGCACTGTAGGCACGTTCGCCAGCCATTTACTCTGCGAATCCGGCGAGTCGATAACCACGTGAAGGCTCCCAGAGCACCCCTGCCAGTCGAACACATTCAGCTGCATTTTACTCGGGTAAAAATAGCTGTTGGTATCCGCAGGTATGATCTGTATCCGGTAAGTGTACCCCGCTAGAAGCGAGGCGGTTAAGTATCTTCTCTTTTTACTGCTGTCTCTGCTCTTGGGAGTGTCGTTGTCCGTTCAGTACGCGTAAAACGACGTGTCGTCATCCATTCGGGTGATTTTAAGGAAGGAATACGGCCTGAGAACAGTCCTGCTGCTGGTAGCCCCGTACTCGTCATACTCCAACCCGACCGACCGGAAGCAGACGGAGGTGCAGGAATAGGCCGAAAAGGCGCTCTTGAAGTTGCACTTTGCCGCCCGGACGGCGGCGGGCGGCAGGATGGGGTCGTAGTTGGCAACGGCGTAGCCTGATTGGCCGAGGAGCGACCCGTCAACATCCCGGATGGCGTAGAAGCGCGCCACCAGACCCCCCCGGGGCGGCGTGCCTGAGGACTGGAGGGGAGGAGAAACATAGCAAGGAAAAAAGAAGAAGAAAAATGAAAAGTAACAATAATTAGAAAACAGCTTTTGAAACCAATAGACACATTGAAGTGTGACATGGCGAAAGGCACGAAACGCTCAACACAAATGACAGGTTTAGGGTGACTCACGGGATTGGGTGTGGCCCAGAATTTGTTGGTGCCTGAAGTAAACGTGAGGCCCTGTGGGAGAGGGAAATTCAATTCAGGGTACATGGAAGGGATGAAGAAATATATGAGAATGAAGTATATGAAATAAAGCGACAATGCAAGCGAATAAATGTTGGGGACTGTTTACACATTACAGTGGGGATTGGCACATCAATCTCTCACACGACAAAGCAACTGTAGAAAATATTAGTGGAAAATACTCCAAAACGTGACTGTAACGAGCAGTACCTTAACGAACATGGCAGTGTTCCAGTATCCGCCTGCCTTGTTCGCCACAAGAGCGACCCCAAAGCTGCTGCTGCTGCACGTGCCAAAGCGGTGGAAGCTGGAGAAGGGGGGGATGGGAGAGGCAAGGGAGACAAGGAAGGGGTTGAATAGGAGGAAAAGGGAACGAGGAGAGAGGAATGGGTTCAGCACAAGAGCAATGCCAAAGCTGCTGCTGCTGCACGTGCTAAAGCCTAAAGCGATGCAGACTATCCTGGTAAAGGGGGACCACCTACAGAGGGTAATGGCGTACCTAACAACTACTGCAGCACCTTGTAACGAGTACAGGAGGGAATAAGTCTTACGAGGTGTCCTGGATGGAGTTGGGGTGTAGGTTATCCTGCGGGTTGCTCTGACTCAGCGTGATGCCAAACTTGCGTGCACTATAACGAGGGCTCCTTATAACGAGTACAGACCCGACAACTCACGAGGTGTCCTGGATGGAGTTGGGGTGCAGGTTATCCTGCGGGTTGCTCTGACTCAGCGTGATGCCAATCGGAGCAGCAAACGTCCCTGGCTGCTCCTGCAGCGATGGGCCCCCCATGGGATCTGCCATCCCAGCATCCTCAAAAGCCTTGTTGCTGCTGCTGGTGCTGCCGCCACTGCCACCGCCGCCGCTGCCGCCACTGCTGTCAGCACTGCCGTCGTCTGCAAACGGGTCGAGGGGTCCCAGAGACGCCTGGAGAGTGAAGGGCTGCCACAGAGTGGTGGGACCGGCTGGGACGGGGCTGTCTTGGTCGTTGGGAGCAGCAGCAGCACCACCACCTGTGCTGTCATTGCCGGGTAGGGTGGAATTTTCTGGTGCGTTGGGATCTGTAGCAGCAGTAGTGTCGTTGCCTGGAAGGGGTTCGGCTGGTGGGATGGGTGCGGCAGCAGTGGTGCTGTTGTCTGGGCTGGAGCTTTCTGGTGGGATGGAGGCATCTGGACCGTTGGATGTGTCCTGGGTTGTGGTGATGGTGCCGCTGCTGCTGCTGGTGGCAAGGGCTGTGGTTGTGGTCCCCGCATTGGAGGACCTAGGGGAGGGAAGGGAGAGGTGGAGAGGGAAGCAAGAGGTTGGAAAGGGAATGGAATATAGCAGTTATTCCTTGGATCTGAAGAGCAGACAAAGTAGAAAACTTTTGAGACGTGGCCATTTAATTAACAGGTACATAAATTAAAAAAAAAAAAAAAAGTGGATTTGCATAGTGGCCAATGCACTAGCAGGAAACTTCTCAGAACTGATTTAGATACACGAAGGACGAACAGCCCTCCCCCCTCCTTTCCCCCCCTTTCGCCCCCCAAAAAAAGGTCACACGCAAGAGAAAAAAAGTTTCACAGGCAGGAGCGGGAGGAGGACTCACAGGCAAAAGGAGCACTCACGGGCAGGCAGAGGAGGAGCGGCCACTCACACACTCTTTTACTGCAGCGCACAATCACTCACGGGCAGGCAGAGGAGGAGCGGCCGATGAAGCGGCAGCCCTTGGCTTGCACACCGGCATTGCGGCTCAAGTCGATGCCGATTCCATTGTCCAGAAACACCCCGTTCTCCACTATCAGCCGCTCGCTGTTGAAAAAGAAAATGCTGCAGAGGGGGGGAGGGGAAGGGGGGGGAAAGGGCGATAAGTAAATCTCAAAGGAAGAAAACCCCGTTCTCCACTATCAGCCGCTCGCTGTTGAAAAAGAAGATTCTGGCGTAGACAAGGGGTGGTGATGGGGTGGCGGGGGAAAGAAAAGGGAACGGGGTACAGGAAGGGGTACGGGTACATTTAATTTCAGCGAGGGTTGATTGTGTGTGGTCGCCATGAAAGGGGACTAATCCTTAGGGTTGGTTGGCGAACTAACTGAAAAGAAGCATGGTTGGCAGGCAAATCAGCAAAAAAAAAAAAAAAAAAAAAAAAAAAAAACCAAAAAACAAGCGGATGTCAACTCACCCTGCCTTGTTACGGTAAACGAGGAAGTTCTTAAGGGAGACGCGGGGGTTTCGGGTGGGAGACGGGTATTTGGGCTTGGATCCATGGGGGTAGGTGCGGAATCCAAAGAGGTTGGAGTGAGCTTGGTTGCCGTCCCACGTGCCCCAGTTGTAACGGAACGGCACTGTTGACCCGATCGTTGGCAGCAGTTTGGAGAGACCTCGCATATATGGGTTGGCCTCTATCCAGAAGCTGACAGAAACAGGGAGGGGAATGGGGAATAAGGGGAGGGAGGGGAAGGGGGTTGTGAGGTTGGAGTGGGCGTGGTTGCCGTCCCACGTGCCCCAGTTGTAACGGAATGGCACTGTTGACCCGATCGCTGGCAGCAGTTTGGAGGGACCTCGCATATATGGGTTGGCCTCTATCCAGAAGCTGACAGAAACACAGAGGGGAATGGGGAATAAGGGGAGGGAGGGGAAGGGGGTTGGCCAGTTATAATAGAACCAATATCTGGTAGTAGTTTGGAGAGATCGCGCATGTATGGGTTGGCCTTTATCCAGAAGCTGATGGGGATGGAGAGGGGAGGAAGAAATTGGTTGGATTTCACAGAGAGGAGGGAGGAGGGGAGGAGGGGAGTGAGACGTCAGTGCATGTGCAGGTTAGCTTCTGGCCAGAACCAGATAGGTCATGGAAGCAACAGTGGGGAGGAGGAATGGGGGGAGCAGGGGAGGGGGGTACAGCACAGCAAAGGTGTATGTGGGGAAGGTGGTTGGGTGGGGAAGAAGGGGATGTGGAAGGGCGTACAGCACAGAGGTGTATTTTGAGGCGCCTCAAAATACACCTCATTGGGTGGGGAAGAAGGGGATGTGGAAGGGCGTACAGCACAGCAACGTTGTCAGTGAAGCTGCTGAAGGGCGTTGCGAGCCAGAAAGGGAGAGGGCAGCAGAGAGCGGGAGGGGAGGGGAGGGAGAGGGGAGAGAAAAAGGGGGGAGGGGACAGGAGCCTTACCCGGAATCCTCGGACCCGGCAGCAACATTGTCAATGAAGCTGCTGAAAGGTGTCGCGAGCCAGAAAGTGGTCGGCTGCTTGTCCGTTTGCAAGTCTAACCGGCTGGAAGTCAGCGGCGGGATAACCTGGTCAACTTTCCTCGCGTTGATCCCAAGGTTTCGCCGAAACACATTTCGCATTTCCGACCCCTCCTCCAGCAGGTAGCAATGGCCCTTCGTTTCGTACGAAACGTTTTCTTCGATCGTCATGTTGCCCGTCGCGTGAATCACCATGCACCGTTGCTTCGTGAAAACAATCGCGTTTTTTCGCACCACGTGGTTCTGCCCCTTCTGCCCGCACACGTGGAAATGCAGGGGGTATTTACCCAGTGTGCCCTGCTTCCCCAGGCCACGGAATTGCACACCCACGATCGTCTGTGCTGTCGGGGTCATATAAACCATGAAGTTGCCACCTGGGAAAGCGAAAGGGCAGAGGAAAATTAGGAGAAGCCAAACGCAAGGCCAGGACCAAAAAGCGACAAAGGACTTGGGAATTTGTTTCAAAGGGCTCGCGATCGATCTGTACGAGGAACAACAAAGCCAAGCAGTCGTAACCAGAGCACCTATTAAATGTTCACCTTGCACCGTAAGACATCCAATCGTAACCAAGATAGATATATTCCATCTCCATTCCAATCACGCAACAGCTACTATTGAGAAGAGAGACACAAGACATTGCCGCCTCCTCACCGTCGTACTGATACGGCGCGCGCGGCCTCGTCACTCCCAGTGATCACAATGTGCCGATGCAACAGCACCGAGATAACCCTGGAATCAGGAGAAATCGTGGCCAGTTGCTATGGAACTAGTGAGTTGCGACACATCAGCCTCTCACCGTCATAGTGATGCGGCGCGGGCTCGTCACTCCCCGTGATCACAATGTGCCGATGCAACAGCACCGAGATAACCCTGGAATCAGGAGAAATCGTGGCCAGTTGCTATGGAACTAGTGAGTTGCGACACATCAGCCTCTCACCGTCATAGTGATGCGGCGCGGGCTCGTCACTCCCCGTGATCACAATGTGCCGATGCAACAGCACCGAGATTACCCTGGAATCAGGAGAAATCGTGGCCAGTTGCTATGGAACTAGTGAGTTGCGACACATCAGCCTCTCACCATCATAGTTATTCGGCGCGGGCTCGTCACTCCCCGTGATCACGATGTGCCTTAAATCCCCTCGACCATCCCACCCCGTGGTTTGAAACGCCTCAAAAGTCGACTCACCATCATACTGATGCGGCGCAGTCTCGTCACTCCCGGTGATCACGATGTGCCGATCCAACAGCGCGACCTCTCCGTAAATCCCCACCGTTCCTCCCCACCCCGTCCGAGATCTTCACGCCGTCGTGCCGCTTCTTAAGCGCCGTCTTTAGATTGATTTTGTACCGCCCGTCGCTCTTTCCTGGTCCCGACACGGGCGTGACGACGGAAACGGACGCGATGACGTGGTGGTCCGCGTCGTTGAGATCTGCTGACGTGGATGCCAGCGCGATCGTCATTCCCGCCGCCCAGCGCGTCACGTCCGCGTTCACGTAGATCGCACGCGCGCCCGCGTCGGCTGTTTCGGTGAGGCGCACCCACGACGGCGTGTTGCCGCCGCCCGGCATGCCGTAGAGAGAGACCTGCCCGCCCACCTGCGTGCGGAGTACGGGGGGGGGGGTAGGGGAGGACGGGGGTTGGGGGAGGGAGGAGGGGGGAGTGGGGAGGTTGGGGGGGAGGGGGAGCTAAGGGGATGGGAAGAATGCGGCGCTGAGAAACATAACTGAAATAACAAACAGGAACAAACGGATTGCAACTATCTCCAGGTACTGAGTAGAGCGTGAACGTTGCAAAGAGTAGACAACACATCTACGACCACTCACCACGGCGAACGTCTTGTGCCCCAGGTCGCGGGGGTTTCCGGGATCTGCGGGCTTATGAAACTGAAGGGCGTAAGGAGCGCGCTGCTGCTTGAAGTTCTGGTAGAGCGTGAATGTGACGCGGCTCGAGAAGTGCGCGCTCGGCTCGCCAGCTGTCAGGCGCCCGAACACCATTATGTACGCCGCGCGCACGTGAATCTTGGGAAGTGACGGGTCGTCGAGAATCCTGTTGTGAGGGACGAGAGAGATGAGGGGAGGGTGGAGGGACCGAGGGACGAGAATCCTTTGAATGCGTGTCGCATGAATGGACGAACCCATCTTGACTCCTTTGAACCAACGTTGGCTTGTCGCTTGCCGTTCGCAGCTCGTCAGTCAGTCGTAGCTCGCCGTTCTGGAAACGAGGGGAGGGACAGGCAGGGATGAGCAGGCAGAGCTTCTGGAAACAGCTTGCCTGCATCCTCCCCTCGCGGAATAAAGCTCACTTCAGCCAGGCTTCAATCCGCAACATTCCAACGCTTATATCGGGTACATCCAGCAGCACATTTCTGACAAGTCTTAACCATTCATCACTCACTTCAGCCAGCCCCTGATCCTCAGCTTTCCGACGCTTATATCGGGTACATCCAGCAGCACAGCCTTTCCGCACGGAATCATGACGTCAGCCCATCTGCGCGCCCCGGTACCCGGCACGCCGCGAACCTTCGCGGAAGCGCCCCACGTCCTCCAGTCGCTCCACCGCTTAAAGCCCTCCGCGGGCGGTTCGGTCATGATCTTGCCGCACGCTGGGCTGTACGCGTCGGTGACTTTGAACGCTGAGCCGCGCGTCGGCGACACGTGGCAGCATGCGAGGAGGAAGATGAGCGCCGACGCACCGATGAAGCGCGAGAACAACGGCGCGCCGCCGCGTTGTGATGGCATGCCACCCATTCTTATCATAGCATGAAGCCTCGGAGCGTTACGACCGCTGCGGCTTCCTGGGAAAGTCTCGGAGATTAATCGACTAAGCCCGCAGTATGTGCAGGCGGTTAACAGGATGGTCAACGATCCTCCTAGTAAGCAAGCCAATGTCGTTCGCTAAGCACCGGAGATCTAATAGCCGAAATCCAAGTCGAAGCAGCAGAGGTGGGGGGTTGTCAAGAATGCTGTGAGGGAGCACGATACTGAGTACGCGGAGGCGAGAGTTAACTTATGATAGCGCGAGTTCAGGAAGCGTGTGTCGTGTCGACTGATGGTCGGATAGCTTGCGGAGATATGCTAAGCACACGGCGGTGAGGTTCATACGCGCGACGGGCCTCCCTGAATGCTACTCGCATCGGTTGTTGAAGATTTGCTGCTGCTCGGCGCTCGCTACGGTTCGGAACCGCCGCCCTTCCGTTCGTCCGTACACGAACCTGTAAACCGTGGCGCGGCACTGGATCGCTGTAGGGGTGCTGCTGAGGTAGTGAAGTTGTATCTATCAGGTAGTAGTGGTAGTATCGCCATGGCATGGCAGGCACGGCCATCGCCATTGTCTTTGTCATCGCCATCATCGCCATCCCCTCGCCATCAAACATCGCCTCGCCGGGCTATCGCCGTCGCCATTGTAATTGTCATCGCATCGCATCGCCATCGCCATCGTCGCCGCCATTCCTACGGCGCTGCAAGTTGGCAACTGGACCCACCCGGACTGGCGGCTCGGATTTCTAAGCCTGTCAAGAAAGCGAGCAGAATCTGCATCGGGGAGCATCCGTCCGTCCGTCTGTGCACGGTTTGCAGATTCTTCTATCGCGGTGGATACAGTTTGCGTTGTCGTTCCAAGGGTGAGGTGGGGTGGGTGGTGGGAGCTGGTGGCGTCGCACGGCAGAGTGGCTGGCGTGGCATCGCACGCCTTACGTGGCATCGCGTGGCTTGTTCGAGCCACCTCACGTTGGCGTGGGTGCGTCGGGTTTTCGTCTACGTACGGCTCGCGAGGCTCCACCCTACTCCACACGACATTCCACATGATGTTGCTGACCGTACAGATTTGTCGTTCCTCTCGTGCTCTGTACAATCGGCGTCGGGTGAGCAGGTGCGGCTCGAGAGCAGCACAGCTTGTAGTTCGCTCGTTGGACGACAGCGCAGCAAAGGCGACCGAGGAACAGAAGAAGGGGCAAGGGAGGGAAGGATGTAGTAGTAGGGAAGAGATTCTGTAGGAGGGGATACAGTAGTAGAGAAGGAGGAAGACATGATACTGTGGGGGGAATCAGGCAGGAGAGAGGGAATGGGGACGATGCTGGAGCTTTGGCTGGGGGTCGGGGCGGGGGGGATGGGAGAGTGATTCGGGGTTGGGGAGCGGGGAGGGGTGCGGCTAGGCATATGTTCGGTTCAAGTCGGTGGGGGACCTTGTTAGAAGGGTGTACAGGGGTGGGCGGGGTAGGTGGGTGCAGGGCTGGTGTGGGGTGGAAAGAAGACAAGGGTGTGCAGTGAACGTGAATTCGCACACTCTTTGTCCGTCCTGTTCTTCCGGATGTCAGCAAGGTCGTCAACGAATTGGGGAGGTCGTCTCGCGTCGCAAGACATCGCCGAGGAACCAGCAACGTACGGTTCCCGTTTTGCCGAGTCATATCTGGTGCGTTCGGACTACACTAAGGTATGTTATGAATGAACTTACTGAGTATGCTGATTATCGAGAACGTGATTAACTGAATGACGATACAATGAAAGTGACGGGATTAAATAGGGCGAATCCCCAGCTAGGCGGGCACGTCGGGCAAAAATGGCTCGGAAAGGTGGCGATTGGTGCGGTGGCGACTGGTGAATGGTTTCGTAGGCAGGCAGAACCAGCTGTGGCCCTCGGAGTTGTCCTCGTTAACAACTGACTACAGTAAGGAATTCCTAACATTTTGCACTTGGCGGCAATGGTGAACCGCCAACTCACTTCTCAAATCGCACATCACCTATGAAAGAGGGGACAGCGCCGACCTATCTAATGTACCTGTACAACAGTTGCAGGAAGGTTCGTCGCATGCAGGAGAGTGCGTCACGTGGGCTGGTTTCGTGGAATACGGAACTGTACTTCCAAGCGTGGATGCCCCACCCTTCGAACAAAGCTGCCCGGGAGTTGCAAAATGTGTTACTGTACAACTTGTTGGCAGGTGTGTGCGGACAAGTGAATGTGTCACAGCCGCAAAAGCACGCGACAGTCGGGAGTGTCAAGTCACGAACGAACACAGAATGTTTCTGTACCTGCCAGGCTGAACCGATGGTAAACAGAGTGGATCGAATCGCGCTCCAGAACATTCACCTCGCGGCTCCACTTGTTGACGGAAAACCAAAGCGCCGCCCAAGATTTGTGTGCGACACAACATGTCGGCGAGCTACTCCAGCGCACAGCGATGATGTCGTCGTTCACCAATCAATGCCTTTCAATGGAGCTTCTTGTAGGTCGTTCATCATCGCAATGTTCCGCACGGTGCCTCGTTGTACGATCGCCAGCAAGTCAGCTTGCAGCCTCCTCCATCCGTACAGAACCTGGTCAAAACGCGTCGCACATACATCAACCCCCTTTCCCCAAACCTGATCCCCCCCCCCCCCATTCCCTCCAACCAATTTCCATCCACCTACAGCTTCCTGTCGCCCAAAGTTACAACTTACCACTAGCGACATCGTTAACATTCGTCCATCCACGCGTTCTCCTGCTGTCTTCATAACGGCCCTCCACCTTTTCGCCTGTGCGACCCATAACTCTCATTCTTGGAGCTCTCTTCTCCTACCTTCTCTCTGTGCGACTAGTTCACTGCAAATCACTCCACTGCCTCCTTTCACGCCATCTTGTTTCTTGAAATTTCTCCCAGGTCACTCACCGGATCAATTCCGTCCATCCTCGTTCAATTGCACCATCGCGCCGTCCGTGCATCTTTCATTGCTCCACCTCCACGAACCCCCCGACACATCACTCACCCACCGTTTACTTGACCCGCGCTTGTCGGTCGACCATACATGCACACACTTCGCCCCACACTGTACAGTCCATCCATACCCCTGCCATCCTAGATTCCACGTTCTCACGTTGGCGACACTACAGTACATAAGCATTCCATGTAATGCATCGGCCTGTTCTGCGATCTAATCGGAAGCCCATCTTTATTTACGACCGTTTTCCGGAAGTATAGCAGCAGCAAACCCTCAGTTTGCTTGCAACTCCTAGCTTCGTTTCCAGCAAATTCCCCAAGTCGCCATTTCTTAGCCTCGAACGAAGCTCAACAGGTTGTGATCTCGTCTGCTTGCTCCTTCGATCCGTGCGCCGTGGACCGTGTCAAAGCCATTGCTGCTTTGCTTCATGGTCCCCAGCTGTCTACATAACAGTCCCACACATCCTTGCAGCTGAACTACAGCGGTACCCGTATCCTTTTTGAAGCATAAGCTCAGGCACAACGCGCGACTAGCATTCCCGTCGTTACCTTCCACTACCACTACCATTTCAATCCACCGTTCCAGTCGCTGTTCCATTCACCACCATTCCCAGTCCCCAACCGCCCCGGTCTCTACCATTTGCGCGCTACTGTCCAGTCACTAACGTTACAGCCATCACCTTTCCGCTCACCACCGTTCCATTCACTACTGCTACGCGCGATCCCGTGCTTTTCACAGTCCAGGGGCGACCAGCAGACCGTTTCGCCTAGACTGGAGTCGTCCGTCTATGGCCGTTGATCCACGTGGACACTACGAAGCGTTAAATCGACCAGATTTTTCCGTCAGGAATCATCATGCCGACCATACTACGCTTTTCGCGTAGTTCCGGTGTTCCTGCTAGACCGCGTGTCGCCCCTAAACTAACTCCTTTCCTCGTCGCGGCGCTCATCGCCCTCGTCGCAAGCTGCCACGTCTCGCTAGTTCGCGCCGCGGCGTTCCGAGCCACAGACGCGTACAGCCCTGCGTGCGGAACGCTTATGACCGAGCCGCCTGCCGGCGGCTTTAAACGCTGGAGCGACTGGAGAACGTGGGGAAATAAAGCGCGCATTCTAGGAGTGCCGGGTCGCGGCCTGCAGCGATGGGCTGACGTCACGATTCCGTGCGGCGTGGCTGTGCTCCTGGATGTACCCGATATTAGCGTGCGACGACTGCGCGTCAAAGGATGGCTAAAGTGAGTGTAGGAATAGGTTAGTGGTTAGGGTTAGCAATAGACGATGCTTAAACATCCTTCTCTGCTTCCCCAAGGGAAAACACGGTGTTTTCATTCTACGGTATTTCGCTCTTGGCGTTTCGACGCTTCCGTTTCCCCAGGCTTCACTTATTCGCGTCAACCACTATCATCCCATTGGCCTTCCCAGCTCCCCCCCCTTCGCCCGCTTGCTTTCCCCTCACCGCCCCCCCCTTCCCCCCCCCCCCCTTCCCCCCCCCCTCCCCCTCCCCTCTCCTTTCCGCCTCCCCAGTCCGCCTTCTTAGGGTTCTCAACTCCCCGAAAGTCTCTGAAATGCGAGTGCGCGCGAGGGCGACTGACGTCGAGCAGGCACGTACTCACCTCACCCTATTTCGACCGCCCTCCCACCCGCCTCGTTCTCCCTTCCCCCTCCCTTTCCCTTTCCCTCAACGTCTGCCCCCCCTTTCCATAATAATTAGGGTTCTCGACTCCCCGAAGCTGCCGAAGATCCACGTGCGCGCGAACTACATCATGGTGTTCGGGCGCCTGACGGCGGGCGAGCCGGAAAAGCACTTCGCGGGGCGCGTGACGTTCACGCTCTTTCAGAACTTCATGGGCGGGCGAAAGCCGTACCAACTCAAATACCAGAGCCCCGCGGATAAGGGCAATCCGCGCGACTTGGGGCACAAGACGTTCGCCGTGGTGAGCAATTAGCAACGCTGTTTTCGTGTACCATTTTCTGAATCCAGTTTTACCCACACCGCACCGCAACCCTTCCCCCTCCCTGGTCCTCTCACCCTCCAATTCTCCCGTTCTTTCCCCCTTGCTCCCCCCTCCGCGCTTCCCACCCCCCCTCCCCCACCTCCTCCTCCCCCCCCTCCTCCAACCCCCTCCGCGCAGGTGGGCGGGCAGGTAACGCTTTACGGCATGCCGGGCGGCAGCGACACGCCGTCGTGGGTGCGCCTCACCGAGACGGCCAACCCGGGCGCGCGAGCGATCTACGTGGACACGGACGTGACGCGCTGGGCGCCGGGAATGACAATCGCGCTGGCGTCCACGTCAGCAGATCTCAACGACGCGGAGCACCACGTCATCGCGTCCGTTTCCGTCGTCACGCCCGCGTCAGCACCAGGCAAAAACGACGGGCGGTACCGCATCAATCTAAAAACACCGCTGAAGAAGCAACACGAGGGCGTGGAAATTTCGGATGGGGTCGGAGGGACGGTGGGGATTTACGGAGAGGTCGCGCTGTTGGATCGGCACATCGTGATCACCGGAAGCAACGAGGCCCCGCCGCATCAGTTTGATGGTGAGAGACCGATGTCTCGTGTCTCTGTTTAGAATCTCGCTAACCCCTACGCGATGGGCATATATTTATCTTGGTCGAGGGTGAGTGAAATCGGTGCTTTTGGTCGGTCCTCGTTCAAATCGCTTGCGTAATCAACTCTGACCGTGCGCTTCGCGTCTCCTTCTTTCCACTGCCTCATCCGATTTTCGCAGGTGGCAACTTCATGGTTTATATGACGCCGACAGCCCAAGAAATCGTGGGCGTGCAATTTCGTGCCCTAGGGAAGCAGGGCACGCTGGGCAAATACCCCTTGCATTTCCACGTGTGCGGGCAAGAGGGGCAGAATCACATAGTGCGAAAAAACGCAATCGTATTCACGAAGCAACGGTGCATGGTGATTCACGCGACGGGTAACATGACGATCGAAGAAAACGTTTCGTACGAAACGAAGGGCCACTGTTACCTGCTGGAAGAGGGGTCGGAAATGCGAAATGTGTTTCGGCGAAACCTTGGGATCAACGCGAGGAAAGTCACCCAAGTCATCCCGCCGGCAACTTCCAGCCGGTTGGATTTCCAAACCGACAAGCAGCCGACGATTTTCTGGCTCGCCACACCCTTCAGCAGCTTCATTGACAATGTTGCCGCCGGCTCTGAGGATTCAGGGTGAGCCTCACCTCTTCATCCCCCTCCCCTCTCCTTCCCTTCCCCCCACTCCTCTCCCCTTCACCTCTCTGCTCCCCTTCACCTCTCTGCTCCCCTTCCCCCTCTCTGCTCCCCGTACCCCCCTCTCTTCTCCCCTTTCCCCTCTCAGCTCCCCTTCCCCCTATCTCGTCCCCTTTCTCCTCTCTGCCCCCCTTTCCCCTCCGCTCCCCTTCTCCCTTCTTCCTCTTCTCTCTACCGCCTAATCCTCCTCCCCCCACTCCTTTCCCCACTTCCCGCCCCTCAACGCGTCTCTTCCTCCAGTCCCCCACCCCTTGTTTCTGTTTTGCTGGTATCAAAGCCCTCCCTATTAACTTCCCCAACCTTGCAATTCTCTTTCGCACTACCTCTTTTCCTCACTCCCTCTTTTCCTCGCTCCCTCTTCTCCTCTCCCCCCCCCCCCCTTCTTTTCACGTGTTGCTCAACAGATTCTGGTTGGAGGCAAACCCATACATGCGAGGGCTGTCGAGGCTGCTACCTCAGATAGGGTCGACAATACCCTTCTATTACAACTGGGGCACGTGGGACGGCAACCACGCCCACTCCAACCTCTTTGGATTCCGCACCTACCCCCACGGGTCACGACCCCGATACCCGTCGACCACCCAGAATCCCCGCGTCTCCCTTAAAAACTTCCTCATTTACCGCAACAAGGCAGGGTGAGTTCACGCCTTCCCCTCCCCCTCTTGTCTACCGAATAAAGTGTGGTGAGCGAGCTTCCTTGTCTAATATCAACTTCCGTGTTCGCTTCTCCACCATCCTGCTAGTTCCTGATATCATGCTAACCCTCATGCCCTTGTATGATTCCCTCCTTCTGTCACTATTCCCCCCCTCTGCAGCATTTTCTTTTTCAACAGCGAGCGGCTGATAGTGGAGAACGGGGTGTTTCTGGACAATGGAATCGGCATCGACTTGAGCCGCAATGCCGGCGTGCAAGCCAAGGGCTGCCGCTTCATCGGCCGAACCTCCTCTGCCTGCCCGTGAGTGCTCCTCCTTTGCTCTGCACCCTGCTGTTTCCCACTCTTTTCTTTCGCTCCCCGGTCTCTCCCCTTTCCTCGCCTTCCCTTGCCCCTCCCCAACTTCCCCCTCTTCCCCCCTACAGGGTGTCCTCCCGGCAAGCCAAGGCCTTAGCTGCAGCAGCAGCTCTTGCTGATATCGCAGACTCTCCCCTTACCTGCTCCTTCTCCCTCCCTGCCCCCTCCCCCCCCCCCCCCCCCTCCGGGCCCTTCCTCCCCCCCCCCGCCCCCCATTCCCCCCAACCCCCGTCCCCCCTCTCCCCCCTACAGGGCGTCCTCCGCCAAGGGCGTAACGACTCTCGCTGATGCAGCAGACTCAGACGTCCCAGCCGGCCCCACCACTCTGTGGGAGCCCTTCACTCTGCAAGCCTCGCTAGGCCCCCTCGACCCATACTTCGATCCATCAGCCAGCAGCGGCAGCAACAATGGGAGCTACTCAGCGTCGGCTTATACCAATAAGAGGGATCCTTATAACAAGGCATTTCAGGACATGGGGGGAGTGGTGGATCCTGGGGCAGCAGGTGGGAGTGTTGACCCGATGGTCTCACTGGATGAGAAGGTGGGGACGTTTGAGGCGCCTGTGGGGATCACGCTGAGTCAGAGCAACCCGGGTGACAACCTGTTTCCCAATGGCATACAAGATAGCTCGTAAGTCATCTTGTGCTCGTTATAAGGTACTGCATTTCCTGTGGGAGTCACGCTGAGTCAGAGCAACCCGGGGGACAACCTGTTCCCTAACGGCATACAAGACTCCTCGTAAGTCTGCTTGTACTCGTTATAAGGTTCTCCATTGTTTGTTATGAGATACCCCGCTACTTGTTGTAAGGAATGCTTGTAGTCATACTGAGTCAGAGAAACTGTTCCCCAACACCATACACGACATGTGATTGATCCGCTTGTGCTCATTATAGGGTGCTAAATTGTTTGTACCCCCTCCTTTCCCCTCCTTTCCCCTCCTTTCCCCTCCTTTCCCCTCCTTTCCCCTCCTTTCCCCTCCTTTCCCCTCCTTTCCCCTCCTTTCCCCTCCTTTCCCCTCCTTTCCCCTCCTTTCCCCTCCTTTCCCCTCCTTTCCCCTCCTTTCCCCTCCTTTCCCCTCCTTTCCCCTCCTTTCCCCTCCTTTCCCCTCCTTTCCCCTCCTTTCCCCTCCTTTCCCCTCCTTTCCCCTCCTTTCCCCTCCTTTCCCCTCCTTTCCCCTCCTTTCCCCTCCTTTCCCCTCCTTTCCCCTCCTTTCCCCTCCTTTCCCCTCCTTTCCCCTCCTTTCCCCTCCTTTCCCCTCCTTTCCCCTCCTTTCCCCTCCTTTCCCCTCCTTTCCCCTCCTTTCCCCTCCTTTCCCCTCCTTTCCCCTCCTTTCCCCTCCTTTCCCCTCCTTTCCCCTCCTTTCCCCTCCTTTCCCCTCCTTTCCCCTCCTTTCCCCTCCTTTCCCCTCCTTTCCCCTCCTTTCCCCTCCTTTCCCCTCCTTTCCCCTCCTTTCCCCTCCTTTCCCCTCCTTTCCCCTCCTTTCCCCTCCTTTCCCCTCCTTTCCCCTCCTTTCCCCTCCTTTCCCCTCCTTTCCCCTCCTTTCCCCTCCTTTCCCCTCCTTTCCCCTCCTTTCCCCTCCTTTCCCCTCCTTTCCCCTCCTTTCCCCTCCTTTCCCCTCCTTTCCCCTCCTTTCCCCTCCTTTCCCCTCCTTTCCCCTCCTTTCCCCTCCTTTCCCCTCCTTTCCCCTCCTTTCCCCTCCTTTCTTTCCCCTCCTTTCTTTCCCCTCCTTTCCCCTCCTTTCCCCTCCTTTCCCCTCCTTTCCCCTCCTTTCCCCTCCTTTCCCCTCCTTTCCCCTCCTTTCCCCTCCTTTCCCCTCCTTTCCCCTCCTTTCCCCTCCTTTCCCCTCCTTTCCCCTCCTTTCCCCTCCTTTCCCCTCCTTTCCCCTCCTTTCCCCTCCTTTCCCCTCCTTTCCCCTCCTTTCCCCTCCTTTCCCCTCCTTTCCTTTCCCCTCCTTTCCCCTCCTTTCCCCTCCTTTCCCCTCCTTTCCCCTCCTTTCCCCTCCTTTCCCCTCCTTTCCCCTCCTTTCCCCTCCTTTCCCTCCTTTCCCCTCCTTTCTTTCCCCTCCTTTCCCCTCCTTTCCCCTCCTTTCCCCTCCTTTCCCCTCCTCCCCTTCCCCAGCTTCCACCGCTTTGGAACATGCAGCAGCAGCAGCTTTGGCATCGCTCTTGTGGCAAATAAGGCCGGCGGATACTGGAACACTGCCATGTTCGTTAAGGTACTGCTCGTTACAGTCACGTTCATTAGCCTGGTGTTCATTACAGTCACATTTTCTATAAATTATTATAAACAGAATGAGCCTGTTCTGTGTTTCACTATTGTCCCACGCATCACCCCTCCTCCTCTAAATTACACCATGGCCTCCCTCCCTTTTCTTTCCTTGTCCACACTTCTTCTCTTCCTGCAGGGCCTCTCGTTTGGGTCAGGAACTAAGAAGTTTTGGGCCACACCCAATCCAGTGAGTTGCTCTTTCCTATTCAGTGGGCTGCTTTTATTCCCGTCGTGCTCCTCCCGCCGCTATTCTCCTTCCCTTGTTTCTTTTTCCACCCCTGCAGCTTTTTAATCGCTGTCTGAAAAAAAACAAAAAACGCCTCACACTTTTTCTCCATCTGTCAACTTCTCCCCCCCAGTCCTCCGGCCCAATCCCCCGGGGGGGTCTGGTGGCGCGCTTCTACGCCATCCGGGATCTCGACGGGTCGCTCCTCGGCCAATCAGGCTACGCCGTTGCCAACTACGATCCGATCCTGCCGCCCGCCGCCATCCGGGCGGCGAAGTGCAGCTTCCAAAGCGCGTTTTCGGCCTATTCATGCACCTCCGTCTGCTACCGGTCGGTCTCGCTTCAGTACGATGAATCTGGAGTTGGATCGGCGGGAACGACAGCTAGCGCAAGTGCTGTCACCCGGCCGTATTCCTCTTTGAAAATCACGCGAACGGATGACGGAACGGTGTTTTACGCATACGGAACGGAGAACGATGACCCGAATGCCGGTCCCGCGGGCCCGGGAAAAAAGACTCGGTTTTTAACCGCGTCGCTTTTAGCCGGGTACACTTACCGGATAGAGGTGGTCCCGTCTGAGACTAACAGCAACTTTTACCCGAGTAAATTGCAGCTGGTGGTTTTTGACTGGCAGGGGTGCACCGGCGCGGTTACCCTGATTATCGACTCGCCGAATTCGAGTAGCAAATGGACAGCAAACGTGCCTACAGTGCCGTGCTCTTCGGTGGATCCGACGAGAGTTTATAAGGAGTATGCGTGCGGGGGAGGGAAGGCGAGGCTTCAGCTAGATATCGGGGCGAGCAGCAGTGGAAGGGGGCTGGCTGTATTGGATCTGGATCAAGGTGTCAGCACCGCTTGCTCCTCAGACTCGTGAGTAGAGCGCGTTTGTAGCCTTTTTTGTCCTCCTCTCTTCTCGTCTAATTCATCACCCACACCTCACCTCTCCCTTTCCATTTCCTCTGCCCTCATGCCTCTTCTTCTCCCCTCACATGTCTTTCCATACCCTCTCCCCTTTCATGCCTTGAACTTCTCTCAAGCTTTTTCTCTCTCTCGTGCCTTTTCCTTCTCTCATGCCGACCCACAGGGCTTGCTCTGCCAGCACCTCGTCTCTGCCGCCCCTGTCGGTCTCGCCGCTGGGCGGCACCGAGTCGTCCTTTTCCTCTGTGGACCCGTACTACGATCCGAGCTTTTACGAGCCTGGTACAGGGAGCATCGACAGCTGGAGCGGTAACGGTGTCAGCACTGTCAGCAGCAGTGGCAGTTCCGGCAGCAGCAGCAGCAGCAGCACTGGCAGCAGCACCAGCAACACCCTTTCCAGCAAAAGTGTTGGCAAATTCGAGTCATACGTTCCCAGTGGTAGCATCGCTATTACTGGGGGTGCTAATAGCGAGGATGAGGGTGACGATGACTATAGCGCGAATGAATTCACCGCACGGAACCTTACGAGCACCACAGGAGGTAGTAGCATTGGTGAGTCTCCTCCACCCCCCCCTCCTGTGGCACCAGCAGCACCAGCAGTACCAGCGGCAGCACAGGCAGCAGGAGAGAGGGAACCAGCTAGGGAGCTCTTTGGCAGGCTGCTACTGAGGAAGGTTGCTCCTGCGCCGGCCCCTTCCCCAACTCCCCGTCGACACTAGAAGCTGAATCTGTGAAGTTTGAGGTGCCCAAAAAAGAGCATTCAAGACTGACACTTGAGGGCCTCAGAGAATACCTCCTCTGCATTAGGAAATGTTAGTAGTTGGATGAGAAGTGTGTGGGGGAAGGGGGGTTGTTGGGATGTAGCAATGGACGCAGGAGTTATCATAGGGCGTCAGCATGCTACCGGTACCCCTACCGTATGAGAAGGATTACTCCCGCTTCCACTGTACCATCTCGGAGATATAAGGTATTTTTTATAAGACTGCACTATGCAGCTTGAAGTTTAGTGTAGTGTTCAGTGGTTCTCACAGAGGTCACCCCCTTGTTGCACGTTCACACTAAGCTGAAGAATGCAGAAGTACAACCAAGTGGGTTGATCAGGAAGCAATCCGGTCTAGTGCGTTGTCAGAGGTTGAAGAGCCATAATCAAACAGGTTTGGTCTCAACAGAAATCCCGCTCTCAACATGACTGCGAGTCATACCCAGCCAACATGTTTTCCCACAAACCCTACCGAAATGTCGACTGTAAGCGGGCCGCTCTGACACCACATGCACCCAAGTGAAGTGAAGTGAACCGTTGTGACACCCGTTGTGCGTGTCATGCAGAGAGGGCACGCATGGGGAGGCTGGGAGTCATGGGACAGTGTCTTGGGAGTTCCGCTAAGTCCCCTGCGGAGACCCGCCGTGATTTTGGGAATTTCTGCAAGGAGGGGGTCTGCCCTCGATGACGCGTTGATTCCGGGGAAAAGGCGATATAAGAGGCTCCACAGACGCTGGATTGAGATATCCGCAGAACGGTTTGATGCGGTAGAATGTGGTCGACGTGCTCCACCCGTGATTGCCGAACGTCGTCCATGCCGAAAGTCACCGCGCGACGACCAAGTGCTGGCAGATTGAACAGCGCGAGATGCATCTCCGTTATAAGTGGACGCGCGCGCTCGTACGTAACCAATTAGTACGACGATGAGACAGTAATCTGTCAAAAAACGAGGCGACGCATGAGTCGAGCTGGTATGCATGCGACGTTGAGGCGGAATCTCGAGGGGCGTTGGGGTTTCCGCGGGGTGCAGGGGCAGCAAAGCAGCGGCACGCGGAGCGGATCTGCCCCCAGCGTAAACGATTTGCGGACTGCGTTCTCCGGAGTTTTTGTGACAATGTTCATCCCCGTTAGTAGAGATTCAACTGCACGCAAAAACAGGAGCCAAAGACCGAGAAAAACGTGAGTTATTTAACACACAGTGAAAGATACACAGGAGCCAGAATTTTGAGGTGATGATAAGGGAAAATTGCGCCTAGAGGAAGAGGAGAAAATCGATAAAAACTTGAGCGTTTAAGAAACAAAAACGTGCGTTACCTTCAGAATGTGCAAGCGCTGTGATTAGTGTGCAGCTTCGTGTCCTCTTCAACCGCGTCTTTATCGGAGAAATAACAAGCATGGTCTTGAGACTTGCGTGACGGCACGTAGGTTGCTTCCCATCGTTAGTCCCAGCACTTATTTCCGTGTTTCGCGGCGCAATTACAGGCCTCGCCTCGTGAAGTGCGTCCAGAAGGAATGCAGGTGCCGAAGCTTCTGGAAGCGACTTGGTGGACCGTTCCGGGAACTCGGAAATGTGCGGAAGAGTGTTTTGAAGGTGGAAAGAATGCTCGGTGAACGGGCTTGGTCTCAATAGGTTAGGAACATCCATAGCGATTAGCAGAAAATTGAGGAGGTAACTTGGAAGAAGTAAAACAAATAATGAAAGTCGACTGCTCCTGAAGGGGTGAAGCTTGGGAGATAGAAAAGGACTAGTAGGGAGGCGGTGAAGTAAAGCCTCTAATCACACGTATAGTCAACCACGTCGATTGTACATGATATAACTCGGCAAGGGCTGGAGGTCAAGCGCTTTTTTTCCGGAGTAGCGTTGCTGGGTGCCTGCAGCGAGGATGCTTGATCATGTGCTTTGCGGCGTGCCGTGCGACGCTTCGTTTGAAAATTTTCTTTCCTCGCCTTGCCGAATCTTCATCCACTCGCTCATAGCTATGCATCGCATCGGAACGACGAGCACCCTAAACGACACCATCGAACGACGTTCAAGATGGTTTGTGTGTTCCAGGTTGGTGGGGGAAGGTGGTCGTTGGGTGCGTGCGACCGCGAGTCAAGTGTGTGGTGTATGTGCTGTGGTGTGCCTGTTCTGGGACCTCCCTTGCCTCATCTCCCCTCACCTCTGGTTTCGCATCGCAGGAGTTTATCGCAAAGCACTCAAACGAGCAGGCGGAAATGCCCTGGGGCTAGTCACAATGAACCGCCTGCGATTCGGCTGTTTAAAGCAAGGCAAATTTGAAAACGAGCGGGAATGAACCAAATCTGGTTTTGGCGGGCTTTGTCTCCTACCAACAACATCGAGCGAGTGAGTGGGGTGGGGAAATATAACAGAACTCAGTCGGTTCCGGTTCGGTACGGTAATGAAGAATCTGGGAATGGAAGTCCGAGGTTTGAATTCCGGGAAAGAGCTCTGCCGGCGATGGTTGCACAGCTAGAGAAATCCCTAGCAGGATGTGACTGGGGCTGGTTCCCTGCAAACTCTCTTGACGATTCTTGAAGGTAGAATGTTGGCGGACGTTCGCCGCCACGCATTAGCCCACGTCAGGATGAGACGTGGCATTATACGCACCAGGTAGAAGCTTGCACAGTGTCGGGCGCCTCACGTCGGCGCCGCAGTCGCATAGGGGGGAACTGGGGGGAGGGAAGAGCCGTGTTTTGCAAGTCACCGGGGCGCCGGAACTCACTCAGATATCCTCGCTATTAGATGCGATTCTTAGTACCAGCTCGTGGTAGTAAAAGCCCAGTCATTGAAATATAGTTGCATAAGCATGGACTCACTATCTGTTCAGAATAAGAAGACATGATTCTTCAGCTGCTGCAGAGAACGTGTGACATTTAATCGTGAAAGAACAACAATCGTATCATGATAAAGTACTACATGTACCAATTGTGAACATGTGCGTTCATAAAACTTGATGCTCATATAATCGGTGCCAAAATTTGTGGACATATACCGGTATGGCCTTGAGGAGCACGCAACGCAACATTAAGAGCGTTGAATTAGGCGGCAACCATGCAACATTATTTCTTCATAAATGTCCACTTCAGGGATCCGATCCGATGGCACCAAACCGAAGGGGATGATTAGGTACTTGGCCATGAAATATGCGATGGAGGTGAGGTGAACAGAACAACAACTCGGGGAAGTGCACGCTCAGCAAGCAGGACCTCGAACACACCACATCGTTTCTTCATTCAAGCTACCTGAACAATGACCAGCAAGTCCACACATTCGTTTGCCTCTCAGTGGTCGTCCCATCAAGAAACCCAAGCTCATCATCATCCATAGAGTGCCCGGGTCCATAGTGACTCCCAGCCCCTGATCAAGGGTGAGCGCCAGAGAGCGTGGAAGCACCATGGGTTTCACCCAGCGCCCCATCAAGAACCTCTAGCTCATCATCCATGGTGCGCTTGGGTCCATAGAACCTCCCAGCCTCCTGATCAATCTTCAGCAGCCTTGACTCCTTTGCCGACGTCTCCCCGCCAAGGAACTCGTTTTCATCGCAAACTCACTCTGTGATTGACAAGTCTACTCATTTGTTGCCTCCTTGTGTCGCTTCACCGAGCATCCATCCCACCAAGAAGCTCAAGCTTGAGAGTCAGAGAGCGTGGGAGCACCATGCGTTTCGCCAACTGTCCCATCAAGAAGCTCTAGCTCATCATCCATAGTGCGCCCGGGTCTAGAGAATCTTCCAGCCTCTTGATCAATCTTCAGTAGCCTCGACTCCCTGGTCGACGCCTCACCGCCTAAAAAATCCGATCTAATCGCGCCCAACTGCGCGACGATTTCAGCCATGTGCGGGCGAGAGGAGGCCGGCATGGATGTGCATCGGTGGGCGAGTTCGACCAGTTTCAGTACAAGCTCGTCGGGCACGGAATCCAGATTAGGATCTTTGATGGCTTCGATGTCGCCTGCTTGCACACGTTCTTTGACCTGGGAAATGTGGACAAATGCAGACGGCCAAGCAAGTGTGACAACACATGGGGGATTTTCCAATAATGATCGACTGGGTGTGGCCATTTCTTGCATGCTGCTGGATGGAAAGCGAAAGTATGGACAGGTTTGAAGGCATGTATGCAAGAGGGCAACTGCACTTATTTGAAATTGCAAAGAAAAATCGCTCGCATATACATGAAGTGGGTGTAGACGAATAATCTGATTATGCTGCACACACACTTACCCAGTCTTTTATGTTCACTCCGTGCATCACGACAGGCTTGGTGAGCAGGATCTCAAGCATCATTACACCAAAGCTGGAGATGAAGGGCAACGGGTCGAAAAAAAAAAAAAAAAAAAAAAAAAAAAACTGATGAAAGAAGGGGAATGGGAGGAAGCTGAAAATAGAAAACAGCCGACGGTGAAAAGAGCGGAAGGGGTTCAACAGGGTTTCGGAAGGGGTTCAACAGGGCTTCGCCAGGCTTGGTAAGCATGACCTCAAGCATCAGCACACCGAAGCTGTTGAAAAGGGGGGAAGGAATCAACACGTTGGGATTTAGGTGTGCTCTGAGTCTACTCAAAACACACCAGGCTTGATCAGCACGCCGAAGCTGGTCACGAAGGAGGGTGAGTGAAGGAAATGGAAAGTGCGAAGGTGAAAAAAATAGAGGAAAAAAATAATAGTTGAAGGTGACCATGCTCCATGGCGCACTTACCATGCGCAAAAGAAACAGCAAAGCTTGTCAACTGCAACAAGTGCCTATAAGGAACCACTGATGTGTTTTATGAGAATTGTCAAAAAAAAAAAATCAAAAATTGTCACTTGTAAGCGCATATAAAGAACAACTGATTGTATTTGTTTTGCTTTGTTTTTTTATTATTCTTAAAAAACACGTTCGAAGCTCGTCAACTGCAACTGCCTTTTAGGAACCATGTAATTGCCCACGCATGTTGGACCTTGGGGGAATGGGGGCTCGAGG